CTGCGGCAACAGGATCTTCACACCGTTTCGCCCTTCGTTCCCTTTCCTGAGAAAGACGACCGGAGACGACGGCCTCCCTTTCGCTCTCGTCGGTGAAAGGAGCAGCGCAACCATCACGGGGATTCGGCTAAACGAATAACGACGATGACGTCTCCGACCTCGCGATCTCGAGCGGGAGTGCTAACTGGAGAGAGTTCGTCCAGCCGGATGATCCAGCCGGGTGGAGAAACGGAGGTGAACCTCGTTCTCCAGACGGCGCAACGAACGCACACGTCTAGCTCGTGCGGCATTTCACCTTCGCTTTTGGCGTGGAATTTCGAAAGCCGAACGTTTATTTTGGAGCCCGTGATCGCCCGGCAGCATTCGGCTGACGTTTCGGCACCGTACGAATGCGTTCCCATCGGTTTACCCGAAAAATCGGTTTCTCGTCGCGAGCCTCCCTTCGATTCCCGTTCCCGCGCTCGATTTGCCGTCCATCGAGAAAAACGACGGAAGAAAATCGGGGCCATACCAACCGAATCCACTTCGCTTCGGAGACGGAACGCGGACTCGGGGAGCGAAAGACTTGGACACCGACCGCATGCCGATGCGATCGAGAAAGAACGAAGAGCGCCCTCCCCCTTTTCGCCCTCCCCCTCGGTCGCAGCAGAGACCTCTTCCGAGTCGAGAGGTCACTCTCGAACGAGATCGGGTCTGGTTAAAGGAATCCCACGGTTCGTCCGCGGCCAGCTCTACATACCGGGCCACTGTTTACGTTCGGCTCGTCTTCGTGCTCGCTCGCTCGCGGTGGTGTTGGGAAGTAGTAAAAAAGAAAACGAGAAAAAAAGATAAGAAAAAACGGCGCATCGTGAGTCGAGAAATCGTGACACGCGTCGAGGCCTGTCACGAGTCGCTTCGAGGTTTTCCACGTAATCCTGTTCGGCGGTGCCGCTTGCGGAAAATTCTCGTTCTGCCGTTTCGATTTTAATTTTCCTTTCGGTGAAAGAGACGCCACCTTTCCTATTGCGTTCCCGAAAAGAACGAACGCTAACGATCGTCGGTGTGATTTTTTCGACCCCCTTTTGCATGTATCTGCGACAGCAAAAAAAAAAAAAAGAAGCAGAATCGAGAGAGATATTGAGATTCGGTCGGTGTTCCTCTCCTGGCAAGCACACGAAAATGAAGAGTCTCGCGCAATTTTGATCGAGGAGATACGAAAAGGAATGCGGAGGAAGCAGGTATTTTCCCGGCGAACCGGTAACCTCGTCTTTTCCCGAGTTCGTGGAACGGTGAAACGAGATCGAGTCTCGTCGGGGGATCGTCGACTGCTCGCGTGCATTCACGGTTCAGAGACGTTCCGAATATCTCCTCCCTCCGAAAAATAAGATGTCGTTTCGATGGCCGCGAAAACCATCCGGTCGGGTGTTTTACCATCTGCTCTGCGATGCTAATCGTCTCCTTTCTTCCGCGCCCGTGAGAACTTCGCGAGCGTCGGCGGAACGGAATCGTGTGATTTACTTCCACGAAACGGCGATCGGAATCTAGGCCCGGCGCATCGCAATCGAGGTGAGACACGTGTGGGCGTGTCCGGGCGTTCGAATGCGGACTGACCTTTAGAAAACGTACGAACGGAAGGGATCGCGGCTTCCGTCTCCCGATCGCGAGAGATCGAGTTCGTCGAGTTCGATCGCATCCGACGGACGATGGGCGATCCGCTCGTTCGACCGCTTCCCACGCGCGACACGAGAACGACGAGCGACCGCTACGAGGAAAGCCATCCAGATTTCGTGGGTGGGGATCTCGAAGATCTCGACTCCCGTGGCCTGACCATCGGTGGTGGAGGGCTCTACTCCGAGCATCCCGTTGGGAAGAAGGGAATTGGGCCACGCGGCCCGAGGGCATCCATCGAGACCGGTGCTCGCGCACTGCCGTCGCCTCGCAGGTCCGCCTCATAGGTCTTCCCCCCTCCGTGCTCCGTGCGTCTCCGCTTCCATCGTTCCCCCCGACGAGAGCATCCGTGATCCGCGGAGACGATGCCTGGCGCTCCGCCGCCCGTTCTCAACGTTCTCCGTCATCTGAGGCTCGTCTCGGAGCCGACGGCCGCGATCCGGGACGAAAACGCTAACGTCTATCTGAAAGTGCCAAAAAACGAGACGACGACGGTCGGGCGAGCGGAGAACCGGTTCAGTGTTCGATTGGTGACCGGCCTGGTGGTCTGGCTGCCCTCACTCCTGCTCCTGTTTCTCTTTCGCGACTCCGTGAAAAATGTTCTCCTCTGGGCGGAATCTCAGAATCCCTTCGTCGTCTACGTTTCCTGCGTCGCCCTGTACGCCTTCCTCGCGTTCCCCTTCGCCTTCGGCTACGTGGTGGTGAACGTGGCGGCGGGATACCTCTTCGGTGTCGTCGCGGGCACCGCGGTGACGGGGACCTCGGTCGCCATCGGACTCGTCGTGGGTCACGCGGTCATGCAGCGCTGCATGAAGAATGCGATGCGAGAAGTCCTACGCGAATGGCGCAACGAAGGAGAGGCTCGGGATTGCAAGGGGACTGCGAGGACGACGTTTGCCGCCTTGCTGCAGGCCATCTCCGGTCCCAGGGCCTGGAAGGTCGTTCTCTTCACACGCCTCACGCCCCTGCCCTTTGGCATCCAGAATGCTATTTTCTCCGTGAGTCCTCGCTTTTCGCTCGAGTCCGCGGCTCTTTTTGACCTCGTTCGTCGGGTGGCATCGTGGCCTTCGCGTCGATGTCATCGAAAAAAGCCTTCCGAGTCGTTCTCTCGTCGGGGCAATGCCCTCTCGACGAACGACACGGAAGTCCATGCGATGGCAGGAATTTCCTCACGAGTCGACGACCTTGAAATCCTTTCCGCTTTCTCGGCGAAGGAAAGAGTTTGCGGTGAGACCGAGGTATCATTTCGTCGGTCGCTCACGTGACGGCCCCTCCATGCAGATCCACTTTCCCTCCTCGAGAGGACGAGTGGAAGGGGAAAGCAGGGGTTATTACGATTCCGAATTTTCTGCAGTCGAATCGTCACGGTGTCGGTTTAAATTCGGTCTCGGTCTAAATGTCAGGTCTCTTTCACTAGTGGGAAGGAGAGGCATGCAGGGTGTCGTTCACCCTGCTGCGTATTCATGGATCGTTAGCAGGATGCCCACGTGCATCGTGTGACCGGGAAAGTTGGACGCTTTTCGAGAAAGAAGCAGGAGCCGGCGATGGCTTTCACCGATCGATTACGAGTGCCGTCCGCCATGGACGATTCAGTAGCGGCCTGGACCGAACATAATGGGAGGTGAAAGGGCTCGAGTGGAGCAGCTCACCGCAGTAGGAAAGAAAGGCCTCAGGACTTCGTGCTTTTCGATCACCTCGAAAACAGGGTCGATTCGATCATTTCAGTCTCACCGCCGTTTAGAGGATAAGCCTGTTCGCATTTTCATTCGTGTATCTGAATAATGGCGATCATCCAGATTGAGAGAAAAAAATCTCGATCGAAGGCAGGCAAATTGCCTCCGTCTCTGGGGCACTTGAGAAATTTTTATGCTTAATGCCGTTTCCATGCCTTTTTGCCGAAAAGTGGAGAACCTTTAATCTTCGGGAACCGAAGAAGAAGGTTCTCGAACCTTTAATCTTTAATCTAAATTCAAGTTTCAGAGATACGGGACACATGTCCAGCTAACTTCATTAGCATTTTTCTCACTAGTAATTTCTTTTTGTATTGTTTCATGAATTAAAATGCGAGTATTCTCTTAACGGTCGCGCAACTTTCTAAATGAAATTTTATAACAGCAGCTCACTATCATTAAGGTTCCCAGTCACGCTTTTTTTTTTTTGCAGGTGTCTCCTTTCTAATTACCAAATGCAAATGAACCGTTGAGAAGTGGTATGAAACTTGCAAGTTGTTACTGATACTGATTTTTTTTCTTGTTCCCTTTTGCAGACCGTGGATCTGAACATGTCTCAATATGTCGGAGCAAGTGCCTTGGGACTGTTTCCTACCCAGGTTCTGAATGTGTGGCTGGGTTCCACCCTTCGGTCCATGAAGGAAGTGGTAAACCTGGGTGATTCCAATCTGCTCACTCCTGCCTGGATCGCGTGCATCCTTACTCAGGTGACAGACAAAGAGATGAAAAAAAAAACCAATATAGGAAAATATCGATATTTTCCTCTGAACCAAAACGAAAACCTTGATAGGGTTGTTTACGAAAAACATGTTTTTGTTTCAGGTGTTGATAAGTGTATTGCTGGTGATAGCACTGCTGAAGATCGCCCAGAGCCAACTCAACGAAGCGGAGGACGTGGAATTGGGTCTGCGAAATGCAGTCACCAAAAAGATCCTCGAACTTTGACGAGCTTGTCTACCCTCGGGAGAAGGAGCCATCTTGATACGAGTTACCGACAATTTCAGTGTTATTTCCTCACTGGGTGAGGCATTGTAGGAGTCTCACTTTTGACCCCTTTTTCATGTGATTTATCAACTCTTGTTACCTTGCTCCTTTGGTGCCTCGGCATGGAGACCGTGAATTCTGTTTCGAGTGATCATTGGCCACACTCTTGTTATTTATTTGTTTATTTAAAAATCTGTTGGAAACGTGACAATGAAGAATCTCGTTATTTAAACAGTGGTATGCATTGATGGGACACAAGGTTGGCACATCCTTCCAGGTTTATTCCTGGATGAAAGTACAAACACTGATCGGAAAATAGATTTCCTTTCATTGCTGGTCTTATATGGATGAATGAACTTTGATTTTCTCAATGGACATCAATACTTCTCCTCACCTAGGAAGACTTGTGATGGACTTGTCCTTGAAAGAGACAGACAAGCATTATATATCAAAGCAAGTCGCAGGATTACAGATTGAACACATCACCGGCATAAAATTCAAAGAAATAGGACTGTTGGAAGTTTTTTTTGCTGTGGTTGGGAAGCAAAAAAACCTCCCATACTGTTGGTAAAAAAAAAAAGTTTAACCTGCAGACTTCTGGCATTAATTGGTGCAAGTTTAAATTCTATGATATAAGAAATGGATGTGTGATTGGAATTTGAAAAGGAAGAAAAATGCAAGAATGCATATCAATTTTTTTTAGCAATTAATTTCTTTAACCATTAAGAAAAAACTTTTTTTTACATGTAAAATAAAATGTTTCACAAGCAAATACATGGACATCTTCAATATGCATTAGATTGAAGGTGACAAAATTCCTGAAATAGACACCTTCTCAGAGAATTCATAGAAGTTACTTCAGACAGTAACCAATAATAAAGGAGGTTTATTTGCGTCTTTCCCTTAGTTACTCATGGAGTATTCAGGGTGCTCCCAGCATCAGGTAAGGTTTCCAGGATGTCAAGATTCTTCTGGAAACTGACAGGATAAAAAATGAATTAGACACCACAAAACAATGAAAATAGGACCACTAAGAATATCATAAAATCAATATCATAAAATAAACATACTTTGAAGTCATGACCACACAAGCATGGCAATAAGAAGATATGAACACAACATCAGGTACAGCACATTCTACACGGAAGCTCTTTGTTCTATACAAAAGATTTGGCAAAACATTGAAACAACTATATGGTAAGGAACAGTGACATGTAACGATCACAAATTTATCTGCTCCTAACAAGCATTCTATCACAATTATCTGATATCAAGGTACACACAAGATAACATCAAATCTAGCAATTGGGAACAGAGATCCAGACTCAATCACAGCCTTACAGAGATCCAGACTCAATCACAGCCTTACAGAGATCCAGACTCAATCACAGCCTTACAGAGATCCTTTGTTTCAGGAAATTGAACAGTGAAATAGTGTATAATAAGCCAGTGTCCTCTGGACTTCAGTAACACAAATATTTTGTATGGCTCCAACAGTCACATCAATGATGCAGGATAAAATTTAGAAGCCACTATTGAAGTATGATCTCTGTGCCACTTCACAATGAGCAATGGATATAGGAGGCCTATGAAGGACACTGACGACAAGTTGGCGTCATCAATCTGATCACAATCAGACTGGATTTTCCATGAAACTGAGCCGACCCCTCTGTCTCAAGCGGTCAAAATCAGGCACAGTCCCATTTGGTTGTTTAAGGGATGAGCAAAAGCGTTTCAAAGTCTCCACCTGTTCATCTGTCCACTGTCCACGCACTTTCTCAATCAAGTCTGTCTCAGTCTCAGTCTCTGGGAGTTCGCTCCGCTCCTTGAGAATTTCAATTTCAGCCAGCGTGGTTGCAAAGTCCTCAAAGACCTTCAGAGAAACACGGAATGCTTCTAAGGCTTCCTTGTTCCACTTTGAATGCAAATTGTCTGCCATGAACTGAAGAACAGCATATAAGGACAAGAAATTCTCTCTGTGTCTCTTCTCAATCCTGGTCAAAAAGCCACGGTCTTCCCGCCGATCCAATTCCAAGATGACCTGTCTGACTTCATCCTGAGTGCGTTTCAGTTCCTCCTCAGAATGCCAACGATGATGTGAAATGGTACCTCGACTGCATAGCCAGCAACACATACACAATAAAGGTATGGCTGCAATGCAAATGCTTACTAGGGCAAGGGGAGGGAGTGACATTAAGGATCCCATCTCATGAGGGAAGTGTGGCATCTGGGCTGTTGTTCACCTCAACCTCTTCTTGCTTGCTCAAAAACCATTCTAAAACAAAAAAAAAGAGAAGCTCACTTGAAACTTCTAAGCACAAACATTGATAGCCAGTAAGAGCCAGGAGCCTGTTAGCCAGGAGACTCCTATTTCCATCCCATTTCTCCCAACCTAAATGTAGTCCCTAGATAGGGGAGACTCCTATTTTAAATTTTCACATAATTATCTCTACTTCTTTGGAAATGAGGAAAGCATCTAGCCTATCTAACCATTGAAAAATGATACTCTATACCTGACAACCTTTAGCAATTTCCATCTGGCTTTTTTCTTCTTCATCAAGAATATTTTTTGGTGGCAGTGAGGTACAGCTTAGTCTGGTGACATTCCCCATCATTAGATGAGGAATGTCACCAGAATCTCACCAGGCCATATTAATGGTCTGATAAAGCATGGACCTCCATCCTCATGCTCCTGACCACAATCTTTACCACATTGGCAGACCAAGTGGCCATAGCTACTCTGTATGTGGGACACTGGGGGGCACATGGAAAATCCTAGGGGGCTCACAGAAAAACACACGTTCTACAATTTATTGAAGGAGAATGAAGTCTCCCAAGCCTGTATGTGACAGGATTGGTTGTCTGCTGCTGAATGGAAGCATAAAATCAATTCACAGCTACAGATGTTTTGTCCCATAGGACCAATTTTTTCTGAGCTGGAACTTAGTGACAATGGATGCTTGTTATAATAGTTTGAATGGAATTTTAATGGCTAAGTACCTAATTTCACTTTTTTTTTTTAATATTCCCATTACTACCATTATTGCCATTTATATTAACAATATTGTTGAGTTTTACACACAAAAAAACCATGAAGCAGATATTTTTCTCAGATGACAGGCTAAATAAATTCTTAAAAAAAATTGTGGGTTTTGACTCATGTTGATATTTACAAAACGATGGCACATTGCTGGAATGCTTGTTTCAAGTTCTAAAGCTTCTGCACTCGTCAAAGCTAGCGTTATGGGACCAGACAAAAGGCCACTGAGATCTCAGAGGCGCACACTTCCCGACTGTACCATTCAACACGTGGAGTGCCGCTTTGCTTCAGAACGAACGCCATCTGAGAATGCCTAAAGACACTTTGTCAAGATGGGCTTGGCGCGGCAGTGTCTATAGCCGCTTTGACACAGGCAGTTGACCACCCCATTATTAGGTGTCCGTCAACATATTGATCCGCTTCAATAGCCAAAAAGCCGCGACAATTACGATAAATGCGAAAGCATACGCTTCCTAAAAAAAACCAATAGCATGGAGTGTCCAAAAAAGAAGGAAAGGTTGCTTGAACTCGGAGCTATTGCCTTTTCGCACTTCCCGTACCTCCCCATTCTCCCTCGAGCGCTTTCATAGAATGCAGGTAGTGACACCTTCCACGAAGGTTTATTTTTTTGGCATCAACTGATAAGCAGATATTCTAGAAGTAGTGCTTTCTCCCTATTCCACTACAGGGAGATAGGGGGTGTACAAATTCAATCCGAAAACAGTCTATGAGTACGCAAGCAGCCATATTGAAAGCAAGACTTAGGTGGACGGGCATTATATAAATTTATATCGTCTAATTCCTAGCACCTAATGATCTGAGTAGGATTTACATTCCTTTCACTCTTTCTAACCTCACCTATCTACTTCCTACAAATCCTAAGCAATACAATATCAAAAAACACAAATCATGCTGACATAAGTACTTGGAGAGGATTTTGTGAAGCTACAGAGACAGGCTTATTCCAGCGCGAACGTGCCCATTGGTGACGTAGTTGCATTGGGTTACGACATCGCGGGCGACAGCGTGGGAGATGCGCCTTCGATAATTGCTATTGCTTTTCATCTTTCCCTATCCAGTATTCGTGCTCCGTCAACTTGAATTCACTCTTTGACTCGTCCGTTGCACATTTCCATGGGTAACCTGGTGAAATGGCTGATGTATTCGACATAGAACTACAAGATGCGACAGTCGACGAATCTGAGGATGAGGAGTTCGATACGGTTCGTGATTTTCCAGGTCTCCAATTAACTTCGTTAGAATAATATAGGCTCACGCATACATACCAGTATATATGCCTTCGTCTATTGAGACTCATTGGGGCTCTGTGAGAACTTCCTCCTTTGCAGTGTGCCGACATGATTGTAACAGTCTTGCTCTTTAAGGTATAATCTTTTTACCTTTCCCAAAATTTGTAGCATGTCCCTACCACTCAAATTTTCTTCTGTTCATAGAATACCAAGTCTGTAAGTGAATGCTAATGCATGGACCTGCACCCATTTGAATTTGTTGATCTTCACATTATGAGGGACCCAGAGTCAAGGCATTTACTAGTCTCGCATAACTTTTGGAGGATCTTGCAAGCTTGTATGATCAAGAAGCATTTGTGGCATCATACAACGCCATTGCGATTGCTTTCATTGGTTTCTCTTTCGAGAAATTGATTGATAGTATTTAAGAGAATCTTCCACCTTGCCTACCTATTGGGGCTCACCTGGGGCCCTTGTTAGGATTAGACCCAAGACATTAGGCTTCCTAACTGCATGAAACTCAATTGAAGTGAATGAAAACTGCTTGGAAGATATGCAAGAGTATGGACTAGGACATTGAGGTATGCAATACATTTCTTGTTGGGTATATGGTGGCTTTATACCTCAGTGATTTTGTTATACCAATGAGGGAGGAGTTGGGGGGGTGGAGGGCCTGTGGCCGCTTCAGATATGGACTCCCAGATACACCCCCCAAGAGGAGAGTTTTTCTACTGTGTGAGTCAAAAGTCTGGACACATAGGGAACTGAGCTCAATATGTGTTTATTGCACAAAATGTTACAACATGTGTTCTATATGTTGTCCATCATTACTCAGACATTTCTGGATTCTTTTTCCGAATTCACTGTGGACTGATTCCCGGACATGGGCCTGGATTGACTCACAAGCTTCCCTTATCTGTTGTTTTAAGTAGTCGATGCTCCTGATCTCAGCGTACACAATGGCTTTCAGGTGTTCCCAGAGGTAAAAGTCTAATGGAGAACGATGGACAACATATAGAACACATTGTAACATTTCATGCAATAAACACATATTGAGCTCAGTTTCCTATGTATCCAGACTTTTGACTCACCCTGTATTTTGATAGCATCAAACTAGTCATGCATCCATATGTCCTTCAATTGAAGGCAAGGGGTGGCTTAACTTTACAATAACTCCCACACCCCTAAGAAAAGATGAATGTAAGAGACATGTATGTATTAATATGGATAAACTATCACCTAAGTTTTCTAAGTGGCACATACATGTCGTTTTGCACAATAAACATTGGAAACCCATCACATGTAACAGACCATGGCAACCTGGAGTGGCCATGTCACATGCCCCACCCAGACCCCTGCTTCTGCTAACATGACGAGCCTTCCTGGGTGTGTGCACTGCATTTAGTTCTTGGGTTGGTCCTCTCAGACTGACCTGAGTCATGTTTGGGTTGGGTTTTCATATGCACTTCTGGTCTAGTCTTCCTCATTCTGGTGAGACCCATCAGCGCACCAGCAAGGTTCATGGACCTTGTGCTCCCTCAGAATGTATTTAGAGTTAGTTTTATGTGGTGTGCTTGGGTTTAGTAAAAACCCACAAAAGCTGATGATACGTTAGTCTGAGTCTCAAGCTCTGAAGTTGTTACATTATTTAGTGGTTGAATATGGAGGCAGCAGTGGTGCTTACTGTTAAAATAAAAATGGGTGTTCTTGGCCTTCATTCAACATGGCTACCCCCAACATGGAGTGTAATTGTAAAGGTGGTCTGTATAAAGAAGGGCAAAAGCCAAAAAAGTGAAGAAGAGGATTGATTCCATTAGGAGGGCAGGTCTCAAGTCAGAATTGAAGACAAGCAGTCAGCAAGAATCAAGAATATTGAAAAACATGCAAATGGTGGATATCTTGGACCATGGTGCTGCTGATGGAATGATTTGGAAGATTGAAATGTGATAGAACTAGAAAAATTACCATATTAAAATTTTCTTTTTTAGGACTTGCAATGTTCAGGCTCTTAAATGATCTTTTTAGTATTTCAGAACATGACTGGTCAGACTAACTTTCTGGAGTGAAGAAAATATATTGATTCTTTAATATTTTAGTCGGACGCTTCATTATGCCTCTATTACAGTCTCATTCAAAAGCCTAGCTTTCCATATACAGCATAGGTAATGATAGATGGAAAAAATACAGTCGAAAAATAAGTATGTGTTTTTACATAATTTGAAAATTCATTCATTTCCTCATAGAAACACCTTTCAACTACCAACTGAAATTAGTTCATATCCTTAATATTCTGTATAGCCACCTCCAGCACATGGAGCAGTTTTGAGTTGCTTTGGATCAGAATCTAGTGCAGATAGGAAAGCAGCAATTTCCTCAGTATTTGTTGTACTGAATGACTACATGCTGGTTTTGGTAGTGCAGAAAGAAAGCCTGTGAATGTTGTCGTAGCTTTAGACATAAACCATGCACTGCAATCCAAGGAAGTTTCTGAATCTGACTGCACAATTTTGCTTTAATCTCTACATTAAACCTCTGTGGAAATGTTAAAAAAAAAAATTGATCTACAGTCAATTTATCCTTAAATGGGTCTCTGCCTTTCGACACAGGAGTGAAAGGTGACTGTAAACCTCTTTGGAAATTTCCCAAATGTTTGTTTTCCAAGCTTTATTTTTGCTTCATTTCAATGAAAGACATAATAAAAATGCCTGCACATGCATATAAAAGAGAAGAGCACAAGGAATTAATTATGTCTCTGCCACTAATCACTATTGGCTAATAAAAGTTTTAAAATATTTTAAAGCATATTTCTTGATAACATTGACTTGAGTAAATTATAAAAATATTTAAGTATGCAACATTGAGTTTCCCTTTTTTAGTTCAAAGAAGGGTTCTGGAAAAAGTTCTGTAACTGTGTAACTAGTTTGCTTGCATTCATTTTCATTTGTTGGGAGAGAGCCTCAGATTCTGTTATTGAATGTGTGAATTTTTTGTATTTTACATGATGTGGTCAAGAGGTGGTCTATTACCTTAAGTATACTCATAACTATTCTCTTTATTTTTTGCAGGTGTCTGAGAATCCCATTGGGGCAGCTGAGTATGTCAGGTTAGTTGCTTAATTTATACAGTGACTGATTGCAAACTCTAACAAACTAGAACCCAGCAATCTAACAGCAGATTGCTCTCACAAGTTAACAGTCCTTTTATGCCTTTTTTGCCTTCATTTTTGGCCTTGGTCAGGGTGGAGAACTTAGCCTTTTTTTTTTCTTTGCATAATTCATGCCCATTGAGTGATTGAGCATTACATCTACCCCAATAACCTTGCAGGTATGGATAATGTGCTGTCGCCTTCCAGTTAACTCCATTTTCATAACTCTTGAAGACATAAGAAATCCCACCTAGCACAGAAAGAAAGAGGTGATATCAAAAGTCACATCTTGGGCAACTCTGCATGGATCTGAGCTCCATTTAGGCTGAAACAAAGTCTTCTGATTTTTGAATGAATAGCCAGCACTATGGCATCTGAGTTGGTGTAGACTAGGAGTGAATTTCTGACAATTTCCATCAGTCTCATTGTGGCATACATTGAGTGACTGGAGGAGATATGGTCGGTCACAAAGAAATGAAAACTATATTTGTAAGTGTAGCATTTACCCCAGTGACAAGTGAAGGAAGGGAAGTGATGCAAAGTTTTCTGTGATCATTTGTTTAATTCCCATGCTTTGAATTATGTGCTAGGAAATTATGATATGAATGTAGGATATAGTAATATGCAAATATCACCCATCTTTAGGATAATATAAGATGGAAAATATTGTGGAAAGTTTGAGACAAAATGAAGTCTTTCTGTAAAAAATTATTTGCATTAGTTCTTGTCATTTATGATGAATTTGGAATTACTTCCAGTTGTTTCATTCAGTCCATACTTCTTGAAATTTAGTTTATGCCTGCAAATTGCAAATTCTAATATAAATTTCATGTAATACATTCAAGCATGTATAAGCAGAATCTCATATGAAGACAGTTTTTGCTATATACTTTTACTTTAATTGAAATTTCTTTTGATTTCCAACAGGCCAGAGGATCTGGAGGAAATCCAGATCTCAGAGAAGACAGTAAACCCACCACAAGAAAAAATTGGACCAAATGATTTTGAATTGAGAAAGGTGCTAGGCAAAGGAGGTTATGGCAAGGTTTTCCAGGCAAGAGCTCTTATGTTGGATTTGATTAGCTATGTTTATTTGTTGCATGTGGGAAGTCATTGTTCTTAACTTTGATGCATTATTATATTCCTAGGTTCGAAAAGTAGCTGGTAAAGATGCAGGAAGGGTGTTTGCTATGAAAGTGCTCAAGAAGGCCACTATTGTCCGTAACCAGAAAGACACAGCCCATACCAAAGCAGAAAGGAACATACTGGAGGCTGTGAAAGTTAGTTACTTCCCTGTGTCAGGTTTATCAAGCATAAGAAGTCATCATTATCCAATGCATGGTTTTTTCTTGCAGCACCCATTTATTGTGGACCTCATTTATGCATTTCAAACTGGAGGGAAGCTCTACTTGATCCTAGATTATCTCAGTGGAGGTGAGCTCTTCATGCATCTGGAGAGAGAAGGAATCTTCATGGAGGATACAGCTTGGTGAGAAACAAATAGTTTCAGAGTTAACATACATATACACGGTGAGTCAAAAGTCACTGGACAACTTTGAACAGCTATAATTCGGCAAGGAATGCATTAATTTGCAAACTTTTTTTTTTTTTTACATGAAAGAGCGTGTGTTAATTGATGAACAACATGAAAATTTGCAAGAAATACCAACAAGAAATGAGATGAGCCTGCACAAAATGAAATGCAATAATTTTCAACATAAAATTGATATTTAGGGTGCAAAGGATGCCATATTCGCAATTATTTTCAGTTAATTTTTGCTGCTCCAAATAGTTTTCTAATAATGCCGATGAACTTTCCTTTGAGGAACATGTCACCATCGTTAATTTATTCTCTATCTGCGGAGAAAATCTTTCCAAAGTGAAGTGTCCTTTTGCTTTGAAGACTGGTGGATAGGCTAGTTTCGGGCCTATTGAGTGGCCTCCCAGGTCGCTGGACCTGACTCCACTCTACTTCTGGCTGTGGGGTTTCATTTAAAGACCAGGTAAGTGCCGGAAATTTGCGCACAATCATTGAACTGAAGCAGCGCCTCACTGAGAAGATGGGTGGAGTTGCCTTTCAGTGATGGTTTGTGTGATGGAGCTTGATGGTGCTCAATATCTTGGCCAGTAATTATAGTCATATTTATGTTGAATAACTCAGAAATTTTGAAAATTTTCAATGTTGTGTATTTGTTAATTATTGCACATTCAAATTAATTTTGAAAGTTTAAAATTTTAAAGTTTGCAAATTAATGCCTTCCTTGTCAAGTTATAACTGTTTAAAATCATTCAGTGACTTTTGACTCACCCTGCACATGAGGTAGATAACTTGAGTGCATGTTGTAAATCCTACAACTTGCAATCTCTTCTGCTCAGAATCAAATGAAGCATTGTCACATTGAACAAAAGCATCAGTTAAGTGTTCTCTTGTCAACACATGCAGAAAGTTGAAGGATGCAGGACTCAGGTCCTATTTTGTCCAAAAGTTATTTCAAACTTTGCATCTCTTGCATGTAACACTTGCAGTTTAGTGATGCAGGTTGTGCTTTCTTACCTGCATTGCCATGTATGCTAAGGATGCACCATTTCATCTTTTCCTGGAGGTATGACTGTTTCATTGCACTGGGCAAGTTTCCCCTCCAAAAATTTATTATCCCTCTGACATGCATGCATGCATTCAGGCACCCATCATTTTTAACTCACTAATGGATCACAGTTTTACATTTAGAGCCCTGTGTGTTGAAAATTTTGGATGTTCTCAGGCATGTGTATACATGCACGCATGTATTTTGCTTGCCATAAAAGAATTTCTCTTTATAAGTTTGCAGCAGAACATCAGCACAGCACTGGGAGCAGAATTCTTCAACCATAACAGCAAAATTATATTACCAGGCTAAATAACTTGGGTTTAGCAGAATGGTGATAGAAATTTGATTTTGGCACTTCTGTTGTTTCATGATCCCTTGAAACTGCGTTCATCCCTTGCTTGGGGGCCGCTCTTTACCTTATCTTTCCCGTCCTGGGGAGGATTTTTAGGTAAAATAATAGAAACATTTTCATTTCAATAGATTTTTTATTCACATCAGTGTTTGGGGAACAGGTTGGTTATAACAAATGAGAAACTTGATAAACCATCATATAGGACTTTTAACTTAGCCCTGAAGAATATGTTATCTGTTTTCAGCTTCTACTTGGCTGAGATCATCTTGGCACTGGAACATCTGCATATTCAAGGCATCATATATAGGTCAGTCATATTTCCAGACTTGGTGTGAGTCAGCATTTTCTGGCCTCCCACTCATTCAAGTATTCTATTATTTAGGCTTTATATATATTTACACTGACATTTTTCAGAGATCTGAAGCCAGAAAACATTCTGCTAGATGCCCAAGGACACGTGAAGCTCACTGACTTTGGCCTCTGCAAAGAATCCATTGATGACAGTACTGTGACTCACACATTTTGTGGCACCATTGAATATATGTGCGTGCTCTTATTTCGGAGTAAAGAAATTTAAAGAAATATAATTTAAATTCTACATTAATTTTCATGTGATATTTCTTCAAAAGGGCCCCAGAAATCCTGTTGCGGAGTGGACATGGAAAGGCAGTGGACTGGTGGTCTCTTGGAGCTCTTACCTATGACATGTTGACTGGGGCTGTAAGTTTTGCAATCAAAAGTTTTATCTGAAATTCTTAATTTTTTCCTTTCATTTTTTCATGCTTGCAATTCATGTCAATGGTCATTACTCCAAACTGATGTGTAGGAACCAAATATCTTATTTGTCATGTAAAAAAAAGTCATCATCATCATCAACAAATGTCATTGCATCAAGTCAACTCTGAATTAAAAAAAAAAGCTCATGCAATAGGATTGGACCATTTTGACAGGAACTTAATCCTTTTCCTACAAGTTTTAATGACATTATATAGTGGGAATCAGAATTCAGAAGCTGTGGAGTGTTTTAAGATGTTACTCTGACCCTTATAGCTGATATTCAAAATGAAAAAATAATTAGTTTTACTTCAACATTTTGCTAACTTTTGAAGCAAATCAAAAGTTTAGCATGTTACCCATCTGTTAGTGTGAAACTAATTTATAGTTCAGCTCTAATGGTAGCTAGCAGAAAACTGGAAACATTATAAAGAAATAATTATCTGTTATTAATGGGTGGAATATAATTATTAGGGTGATTATGTGTTGCAACGTTGTCTTTTGATGAGTTTCCTAGGTTCTATTTCTATAAGTTTCTTTTAGTCTTTTCCCTCTAGCCTGGTGGGGGGCTAAAATTGAGCTAACAAACCCTCTCTTTGATGTTTCCACTTCAATATGGTGTTATTAGTTTATATTTTATTTTTCTCAAACTCTGATTAGTGGCATTGAATCTTGATACCCCCCTTGGACATTGCTGCTGCCAGTACCTCTACACCATGCATTGTATCTCCTCACTTTTCCTTCCCCTCAGCCAACAACCGCTGTTCAATTTGTCTCAGGTGAAAAATAAAATTGGTTATTGAAATGAGAAATATAGTAAATAAAAAATATCAGCAAGCAAAAGTAATATTTGACTCAAGTGCTGGAAGTCTTGCTGGTATCCCTGGGCCAGTGCAGGTATTTTTAAATATAGTTTTACTTGCCATCATTAGCAGAGGAAACTGGGGTACTTTGGGACAATTTTTTGAAATTGGGAAAAAAATTCGCAAGCATGAAAAGTTTGGGGAGTCCAAGTTGTCCTTTCATTAGAGGACATTCCTGGCTGCAAAAAATGTTAATACTCTCTTCATTCAAAGTGACAGTTTCTGCTGAATGGTGACATTTCTAAAGAATTCAAAGTGTTCCCATTGCCCCCCTCCTGGATACAATCTGTTCTACTGTTGGGGCATTCCCAGCTTTCAGTAAATAACCGACAAAAAATTTACATTTTTTTCCTAATTGCTTGAATTTTGAATTTCTATTTTGCTAGTTGACTTCTTTTCCTTGATTTTTGAAGAAAGCTGCTCTGATTCCTGTTTTTCTAGGGTGTCTCTTGCTATTCTTGATCTGCCTAGATATCTCATTTTTCTCTTTCTGTAGTCTAGTTTATTTTGTAAAACTTGAAAAAGGGAAGTTCTCTGTGACCAACTCTCCGACTGTAGTATCCCAAGCAACCATTTCTTAACCTTTTCCACTCGAATGGGCGAGTATACTTGCCCATTGGTACTTTGACTCTTGCGCTCGTTTGGTGCAGTATAGTATACCACAGATTAAAAGCCTCTTCATTCACTCGGGTGGGTCACCTTGCTGCACCAAACTTATCTGCCATGTAGTATAATGACTTGGCTATTGGTATAAAAGATTTTCTTAGCACACGCACCACGCAGCGTCTGCTAACATAATTAGTCATTGGTTTGTCGTTTTAATTAGTTGGATTGGCAGTAAATTATACTTGAAAGTAAATTATGTTCATTAGTAATTTTTGTATAATATCTTGAGTTGACAGGAAAGGTTACTTCATTCCATCCATCCATCACATTTATTAACAGCTTTGGTTGCATTGCCAGAAGGCATTCGATTTAGAAATGCCGGAAGAACAGCCACCACCCGATACTCATCTCTCCGTCACACGAACTTACCTCTCCACCACCCGACATACCTCACCACCCAACACTCCCCTCACCAATTCCTCGCCCGGTGGCCTTTACTCTTCCTCTAGGCTCCTACAACTGACGACTCCAAGAAAAGCCATTTCAGCAGCCTGAAGCCTATGTGGTAAAAAATACGAGCTACCGGAGAAAACACATGAAAAAAAATTAGAGTGGAAAAGGTTAACTCTCTTCTTTTATGGCCACTCAAGAGAATCACTCAAGCTATCTGACAAGAAACAAATGATTAATCTTGGATAGATAGTGAGATAAATTTGAAAATCTCAATTGAGTAGCTGATTGATTGTTTAATAAATGTAAGCTGAAATTCATGCATATGGAGGTTTTAATATGGTTTTAATTATAACATTTTGGTGTTATAAATCTAAACTTGGTTGAACAAAGAATTTGCCAGCACATTTCATTCAGTCTGTTTTGAGCACAGATAGAAGTTGAAAGCATTTTCTAAACTCAATCAAACAATCATAATCAAGTTTTTAACTCTGCAAGAAATGAAAGTGGCTGACATTGATCAGCAATGAAATAATGTTGGGATATTGGCCTTCAGAGCCTGCCACAGTAGTGGAGAGCTGATGACAACAACATGAGATAAAATTTATGACCTAGGCAGCATCTGTAGATAGCCATGAATCAACTGAGAAAATATAGGAATGTTATGGTATTTCCCATGGCATATAGTCGCATAGTTCTGACTGACTAACTCCACTTGAGGAAGGTTTCATCTTCATGAGTTTAAAGGCAATTTATGGCAGACCACATGGTTGTGCAAGTGTGTCTCAGATAGTTTGGTGGTGTTGACAGTTTTACCCATCATGACAATCCAAGTCAGGAATGTATCATCACCTCAGTGAAAACAGTACACAAACTTTGATAACCTGTGGAATCCTGAGACATAATGTCTGTCCTCAATTGATGCATAAAGGTGTACCACCTTCAAGAAATTTTAATATAGCAAGCAAATAGTGGTCTGGGATTTTTAAGGTGTTCTTAAAGCCTATGCCATGCCAAAATGGACAACAGTCACTGGGAAGGCTTATTTAGACATCATTTGCATCAAACTCTCACTACCAATTGCAAGAGAGCTGCCAGAGATGGCAGCAAACTTCTTCCTGTGCTATGACAAATCTCTCCTTCATCAAACTGGTGTCATTTATGAGTATTTGGTAGCAAGGGGCATGGAACTGTGGCTTCACACTCCTTATACTTCAGACATAGCCTTCAGTGACTTGTGCTCCCTGCTTAGGATTTCTGGCATTCATGACTCTTTTTTTAAGCTCCAAGACTTAGATATGACCTCAGAACTTGATCCTATTGTTTGAGTTAATGATATAACAACCGTTCTCTGAATCAAGTGTACCACAATTGCTGGCACTCTGGATTTAAGACAGATCTGGAAATTTCTCTATAAACTTGAAACTTGGACAGAATAGGCATTGTGATGCGGGGAATCTAACTGTGGTCTTTTTTAAAAAATTGGCTTAGAACTTATAGGGATTTGGTCACCGCTCTCAGGGATAAAAAGGCCGAAAGTTTTACAGCACAGTGGATTTGGTCATGACTTTTACAGTAAGCACAGTGACAGAGTTTGCCTTCGTTGCTGGACCTCCTCCTGCTCTGCATCTCCAGTTGTTTAGAGAGCACACAGTCAACGAAGTAGAGAGCAATCTGCTTTCTACTTCAGTGACCGTGAGGAAGGAAGTGTTTTGGCTGGCAGCAGAACCATTCCAGGAACCACCCTAATGAGAATGGAGATGCTCAAGAAGTGCAGAAAGGGCAATAATCATAACATGATGGAAGATAATAAGGTTGAAGGTGTCTCTCTTTCCACAGTACCATTGTATAGAGCTACTGGAACAGGAAGGAAGCATTTTGGCAGGCAGAACATCCTGGAACCATCTGAATGTGAAACAGAGATTATCAAGAAGGCAGAAAGAAGGACACAGACCACAACTTGTTGCTGGAAGATACTAGCTAGTATTGTGAGATGAAGGTAGAATGTGGAAGGTTGAGAAGAATGAGTAGCAAACTACCCCAGAAGCAGTGCAGATTGGCCCAGAGCTCTTTGTAAGCTGAAAGGTCAAACCCCAGCCAGTCCAATAGCTGTTGATAGGCATGTGGTAAGATGGGTTAACTTCTGTTGGGCAGAAAAGTAGGAAGGACTGCTCAAAACAGAGTAAACTATACAACAACAGCCTCCCTGGATCAAGCCCTTCAAGATTATGCATGTTACTTCACAGGTTCTGGATTTCTGGGTTTGATGAGGAGTAAGATTGCCACCAAAATTGGAGGTTTTTGTTACACTTGACTCAGAGAATGATTGTTAAAAAAATTAAACTAAACTGGTTCGTTACTTATGCTCATTACTAAACTTAGTGTTTCTGTGAATTAGTTTCTCACATCCATAATACTTGTCTACTTTCAGCCTCCTTTCACAGCTGAAAACAGAAAGAAAACAATTGAGAAGATCCTGAAGGGGAAGCTGAATTTGCCTCCATACTTGACCCCTGATGCACGAGACCTTGTTCGAAGACTACTCAAGGTTATTATTCTTGGCTGAGTTGATGCTATTGCGTGTTTCTTATGCACTTTGTCTCAGTCATTCTTCACCTTAATAGTGAGCTGCAATCAACTACTGTCACTTAATGTGATCACACATGAATTTCATAGAGTTGCTGTTAGACCTTTGCACCTACTTTGGTTTGTCAGCATTAATTTTAATGTCAAAGTCAATGACAGAAACTGAGGTTGCTTCATGTTTTGTATTCTTGAATTTCTTCGCTTTCAGGATTATTCTAGTAAAGAAATGACAGTCTGGATGCAGATATTGATGTCAAGGTTAAGGAAGACAAATATAGAGAAGTTTATATTAAGTGTCTCTTTCTTGGCTAACAGAGACAGGTGTCTCAGAGGCTGGGGGCAGGTCCCTCAGATGCTGAACCCATCAAGCTACATCCATTTTTCAAACAAATCAACTGGCCTGATGTCCTGCAGAGGAAAATGGACCCACCTTTCAAGCCTTCTCTGGTTTGCCTTCAGATTTTGAAGCCAGAAAAAGTACTCAATCATTGATTGGAATAAAATAGGTTATGTGATTTTTTTTCCCACAGACAAGTGATGACGATGTGTCCCAGTTTGATACCAAGTTTACTAAGATGACTCCATTTGACTCACCTGATGACACAACTCTCAGTAATAGTATGAACCAAGTCTTTCAGGTCAGCAGCCACATTTCATGACATTATTACTACAGTATTTATGGGAAAATTCTAGATGATGAAAATATCCTGACAGGGATTCACATATGTGGCACCATCAGTGCTAGAGGAGATGTCACATCACCTTTCACATCCACACATAGTGAGGGCAAGATCACCCCGCAAGCTCAGCTATCCACATATTCACCACCCTCAGTATGTATCCTCTGCCCAGCAGTTGGTTCCCAATGGGACTAACTTCCTCAGCCCACCTGAAATGATGGACACCAGCCTTCCACAGGTACCAATATTGACTCCTTTTCTCTGCAATGGGCTTACTCTGAATAATCATAGTTAGAATATCATAAGGCTTATTCTGAATATTATAGTTTGAAAGGTCATTCGTTATGAATTATCAAAATATACCATCCATCATCATTCTGCATCTGCTCTTGGAACTATGTAGTCCATAAGCTGAAAAAGGCATATCTGAAAGAGATGAAGTTCAACTAGGTATGCCCTGTCCATCCTGGATAAAACAGGTTGATAACCTGCCAAAGGAGTTTACTCTGCATTGTCTACATGCACCTCACTACACATTCTGCAGGTTGCAATTGGTGTCCTCTTTGGAAAGGAGCTAGACTTTCAGCAATTCTTTTTCTTTTTGATTTCAGATCCAGTTTCTGATATTTCTTTTTTTGTTGAGAGCTTTCTTCCTAATGAGTTGCAGGTGTCTGTCATATTTCTTACCATGAATTATTATTCAATGTAGTAATTATCTTTCACTCTGGTTTACTGGTAGCTGCATGTCGTGGATGAGATGACTTTCTTCTAATAATGTCACAGAATCTCAAAAATGAAATGGAAGTAGAATTTAAATGACAAAGAAGGATAATAAGTTAATGAACGTTTTTTTCTTTTCAGCTATAACGATGGCTGGACCATTAGTTGTTTGGAATTGTTCTCATCTCTCCGCCTTATCTGCAATGATCCAATGGCATCAATGCATCTACTCCTTCGGGTGCCACAGACACATGCATGTGTCAAGTCAGAGCCTTTTCATTTCTCCATGTGCTGCTCTCTGTATCTATGTCCTTTGCAACATTATTTCGCTTGTTGCATTATTTCCCTTACTACTATTGTGGCAGTATTTTGCCATTGCATTTTTTTTTGTCTCATTTCCACACATCTGGCATATACGTGATACCTCAAGATTCTTCTGGTTCATTGGCTTTAGGGAACAGTTCTAGTCAGTTTTTGAAAGGTTTTCATGTGTGCTTCCTTTCAATTTGCTGCAAGACTTGATTTGATGAGTGCCAACTCATTCTGAAGAGAATCATAAAAGGTCTCTGTCACCCTGTGTGCCCAGATTCTTGTTGCCTATAAGTCATGATTGCCTCTATATCTCATTCGATTTTCATCCCATTAGAGTTGGTCCCATTTACAGAAGCAGGCTTAGTCTGCCAAGAGGAACTGTTCCCCAAGCACAACTTGGCTGCCAAATCTTGTAGGTCTACATTACTAGCATGGTGAACAATTGGATCAGTCCTGTATGGAGCTTTGCAGCTTGAATCTTTTGAATGAAATCACCACAAAATTGTGGATGCTCACTTTCAGCATGACCATTATTTGCAATTTCCATGAATGTTCTATTAATGACAAAGCCTCAAGATCACATGCACTCCAAACTGCTCTTTGTAATTTGGATTATTTGCTGATGATAAGCTTCATGCAGCAATTCCAATTTGGTGCAGCATTTCCATGTGTTGTCAATTCCTGAAAGAGTTGAAGACTGGGGAAAGAGAGCTTGAATGCAGTCAATTCTTGTTAATTCAGACACCAGGAGATCAGGGCTGGATTTAAGTTAACCTGATAATGTGACCACTCATATTTTTTCTCCACTTATAATTTTCAAGAGATTAAATCTCCCATTGCTGCAGCATGCATATTCCTCCTTTTCACATGCATGAAGTATTTCAACCAATTACATTGATGAAATTATATATTGTATTTTGCTTCAGTTTATTCAAAAACTGTGATGAATGTGTTCTTCAAGGACTGCAGGGAGGACTTTCCTCATGGAGGAAAAGAGCTGCTCAAAGCTGCATTGACAGAGAAGGATGTGATATTGTTGACCAAGAACAGTTGAAACTAGAGTCAGGATAGTGATTCATCAATAAAGGGTGGAAGTACTTCTGTTACATCTTGCATTTGGTGAGATATTTCTCAGTCTGATTACAAAGAAAAGGGAGAAATCAGGGAAGGTATTAAGCTTTTCCTGTGTCTGACTAAAAGGAATATGAGATTGGAAGGGGACTGGAGGCACATTTTTTTGTTTGCGATAGTGGACTTTCCAAGTAGCTGAATAATAGTATTTTTCTCATTGGCTTTCATATCCCAACTCCCATGTGGCATGAAACTAGAAAATCCTTGCATGTTTATAAGGATTAGTCATATCCAGTTTAGTGGGAGTTTATTAACCTTGCTAATCCTTTTTTAAGAAGATTTTTCAAGAATTTTTTTTTAAAGTGTCAAATTTCCTGTGGATTACAGACTCACATGCATGAACAAGCTATATACATAGAATCACATACTTTATAGTCAGAAAAAAAAAATCCACTATTCTCCCATGTTACATTTGATATGAAAGCTAAAAAAATTATTGAATCAGAAATGGGAAGGAGGGCTTATGGAGTCACTTGATATAGTGGCATCATTTGAAATCAAGCAGCAGGGATGGATGGATTTTCACCACTGTTCACTTCAGTTATAAATAGAGAAAGAATTTAATAACAGATGTATTTGATCAATTAAGGAATCCTGCTGCCAGCTGTTCCTCTCTGACAAACTTCCTACTCCTGCCCACTGACCTCACTACACATTCCTTTCCCTTCTGCTCATGGTACTCCTACTACCATGTGTGAGCTGCATGCGTAGGTCCCCTTTGTTTTCCCTTGCAACTTCCTGTGTCTGTTCTCTCTTTTTCGTCTCACAAAATTCTCAGCTATTTTTGTTTATTTGCATACCTTGTTCATTTTTGTTTACCTTTCCAAAAGAAAAAGAGTAGCAATACATAATATATAATATTTTTTCACATTTTTTCTTTTGCTGACTGCCAGGCCATATAGAATGACTGCCTTCTACATATTGTGTAGGTTCCAATCGCAAAATATTCATTTTCTGATGCTTTGCAAGATTTTGTTATAAGATAGGAGAAATAAACAGGAATTCAGGAGGAGGTTTGGGTTTGATTAAAATTAGAAAACAAATTTTAGTTTGTTTTTTTTAAATTGTAAATCCTTGGATTAATTCTTGTAATTGAAGTGGCATCCCTTTGACACCACTAAAAAAAAAAGAACCTTTGAGGAGCATCAGGTGGGCTAAGTTCATCATTTTACCTTTTTCATGCTGATATTAAATTTACTGATTCATGTTAAATTTACTGATTCAAGTATGAAGAGAGTTTTCTGATATGATGAATCATTACTCATTGCCAAGTGCATAACTTTGTCTAGGCTTCTCCACAAAGAAGTGAGACAAATTTTTGCAGGAACAAATCATTTGGTATATTAGGGAAGACTGGATTACTGGTGTTCTGATTAATGAGAGTTGACTGTTTTAGAGCTTGCTTACCTGCATTTAGGTCCATGCAAAATGCTATGCTCATTCTCTAATCCAGTTTTCCATCGCTCATGGTGCCTTGTATATTTCATGAGTTTGTTTCTGCTTTCATTATTTATTTTGGGGGATGTGGGGAAAAAAAAGGGGAATATTACCTTTTTTTTTCTTTCTTTTTCCTATTGAGCTATGCTTCATGCATTCACTTGTTACAGGGAGGAATTTTTTTCTGAATTTGTGGACCATGTTGTGAATTCTGGATGTGTTCATTGAGATGTTTGCAGATTCCTAATATCGGTCATGCAGGTGGAAAGAATTGAATGCTTCGCAGTTGATATGTAAGTTTGAATCGAAGTCATCCAATAAAATGATAGATTAGAACTTTTAAACATAAGGTCAAATTGTAGCTCCCATTCAGATTACTTGTGAAACAGTTATTACGCATGGTAAGTCAAAGGTGATTTGTTTTGTGGAAGAGAGTGGAAAAGACTCAGATTGGGGCATAGGCTGAAAATATAATCACCTATGAAACTGTGCAGGGATGCCTAATGATGCAATTCAGCATTTCCAGCTCCTTTCATAAACTGGAACTTGTATTTTTGTTATGCTGGTGCTTGGTTTTGATTTTGCAAGCTGACATATCCAGAGTTGAAATAGTTCCTCCTTTATCCTGTTGATGTTCCCCTCCCAATTGCTTATATGCAGATTCATTATCACCTAGCTCTCTCTTGCACATGGATACAATCGGAAGAGGTTGATGCACCAATTATTGGTGACAACACAGAATGGCATCCATTCCTCATTGCCCTGCAACCTCTACTCCCTTTGATTCGAGAATAGAATCCATGTGATATATATTGAAGCAGAATACCCACATGCAGGGAGTTATCATTTAATGAGAATAAAAGCATTGTATCACATTCACTGGTTTCAAAAATTATTTTGCTTCTGCTTTGAAAAGTGTGCTTATTGGAATGAAAGGGGTGAAGTGCCAATGAAGGCTCTGGTCTGGCTCTGGTCAGCACAACCCCAGGAGTATAGTTGACATTTCTTTGCTATATTTCTTTTGTCCATGTGATCTTCACACTGAAACTGAAAAGATCTAACTGCTCAAATAGTAAGGTTTGTATTTGGCTTAGTTATATGTTCCTTGTATTATTAAAATATTTGACAGTCACATATGAACATAAGTGTTCCAGGCATAAAATGTGTTGGCCCTTTCAGACCTAGTGTTTCAATATATATCTCAAAAAGACACAATATGGAAGGACCTTGGCTTTGCATAAAAGGGCATGTGTTGTTTCAGATGCAAGGTGATCTTTGGCTCTGTTTTGTTGGACCTGTGATGTGTAGGGTTTTTAATCTGTGAGACAACTGGGAAAATGGCCACCACCACTGCTGATGTTGCCCTCCACTGTATCATTCCAGGCCTCAACATCAAAGGCCAGGCTTATTTCATCTTAGTTTCATTTCCAATACTTATTTTTGGTGTCATTACACAGATCTCAACTAGAAGGTAAAAGTTGTTCATGGGCCCAATCCAATTGGTGCAAAAGGTCAAGAGTTACAAGCCTAAAACTTAAAATAAAATTATACACTCGGGTGTATCTTTCGGCATTTATTTGAATTAAAATCTAAGGATCTCTTGTCATATTCCAGGAACCCTCATCACTGGAAGAACCTTTTAGCTTTCCATATGCTGATGCAAACTATTTCCTGAAAAGTAGGGTGCACTCATCATGAATGCCTTTCAGCATTGGTGATTTATGCTCCATCTTGCTTCAGTTGTAGAAACCTTGTCTCTTTGAGTAACTGCCATGTGGCTTGCCTGCTGCTCTTCATTTCATTGTGGAGTTACAACCTACGACTCTTGGCCTTGTGCAGCAATTGGATCAAGCTACTGGACATTTCATGTTTTAGTAGATAAGGTCTTTCTACCCTTGATGTTTGTGGATGGGATTGAACAGTTTTGCATGGAAGAAGTAAGTTTGTTGCAAAAACCTGGAGAACATTGCATCAAAGAAAGTTTTGTGGCATGTTTCACTGTTTAATATTCAGCAGTTTGTCTGCTAGAGCTCAAAGAGGCATACAAACAATGAAGTACAGTATTCTGATAGTCACTGCACTTTTCACATGTGTAGTATGCTTAGCCTGTGTTTGGTAAGCCTACCTCTTACCAGTTTGAATTAACTCAAGAGGTCTTAAGACAAATATGTAATTTACAATGTGTTCTGGTTGTGCAGTGTTTGCAAGGGCAATTCATTCCCTGGCCAGGATAGGAGACTTTGTCCTTGTGGAGCCAAACCAATCTGGATTAAGTCTGCAGGTGGTCAGCTCATCACATTCTGCTTTTGCTTGCTTCAAGTTTCTCCCGTTGTTCTTCTCATCTTACCAGGCCAAACCTGTCAGACCTGATGACATGACTTCTTGTCGCCTCTCCATGAAGGTAAACTCTGTGTGTTTCTTTCCAATGAAATTAAAGGAGTCAACGGAGCAAGTTGTTGGTAAAAATTATAAGATAATTTGAACACTTTGGTTACAGAGTCTCCTCCTTGTGTTTCGGTCTGTGAGTCAGCTGGAGAGAAGTGCTGAACAATGTGAGGTGACTGTGGATATTGCTCAGCTGAAAGTCACCTTCCAGCTTCACTGTCGTTTTGGTGTAGACAAGATGTATCGCATCTCTTTTGTTGATTCTGAACCCATGGAGGTACTTCAAGTATTGTATGCTGTTTAAGTGAACACAAATTATACATGGATGTGAATTAAAGAGTATGTACATATGTTTATTTAATGTAAAATCTTAATGCACATCTTGGGTATATTCATGCACACAATGTCCTATGTAATCACAGAGGGCGATACAATTGAATAATACTATAGTCAATTGAATAATACTGTAGAACTCTGTTGTAACAACAGAGAGCGTCAGGTCCTGGCTTAGAGCCCACAAGGTATGTGAAATTTTACCTCTGTTATAACGAGCTTGGTTATAGCCTGAACCTTGGTTATAACAGAGTCCATTCAAGGTCCCACTGACAAAATAGACAACATTGACGTCTCCAATTCATCATTCTTAACTGAAATTTCCATCATTGAAAGAGTGAGCAAAAGATAAAGTTATGGTGAGCCATAACTTCATCTTTCCTGAAATCAACATTCCTTGAGGGTCATGTAGGTGTGACGAGGAGGGTAAGGAAGGGACTATATCTGATAGCTAAAAAAGATCATTTTCTCTTCAGTTGTCATTGGCATTTCTTGTTGACAACATGGCCAGTGAAAAGCAAAAGTGGCAAGCTTTCACAATTAACAAGAAAAAATCCATAGTTCGTTTGATAGAAAGTGGAAGTAAAGCTGACGTCTCTCATAAACATAGACTTTCTAGTTCATATATTTCCACAATTTGGAAAAATCGTGAAAGCTTCATCTGTGCTTAAGAGAAGAACATGTCACAAAACAAGAAACTTATCTGCTCTAGATGATGTCAACAAATCCTTGCTAAAGTTTTGTGGGCCAATGCTTAAAGTGAAGTCAGTGCAGGATGACCAATGTGCACTAAAAATGTATATAGCATCTATTTTGAAAACAAGGAAACTGAATGTCATTAAAGGCAACCTTGGTTATAATGACAATTTTTCCCTGGTCCCTTCAATGATGTTATAACTGAGTTCGACTGTATGTGTGTCAAAGACTACACTTTTCAGAATTTGAAGACTTTTAATTGTTGCATAATATTATTTTGGCACACTCTTTCCACATGTTCTCCTTCAGCTTGTCAATATTGTGTGGTCATAAAAAGCACTGATTTCAGATGTCTCTGAAGGAAAAAGTCTATTGGGGAGAGATTCAGACCTTTTCTTGATCTGTATAGTCACCTGCTTTCTTAAATTCTCTGAAATTGAAAGAAAGTTTTAATTAACCCCAAATACCTACGAGTCCAGACTTTTAAGATACCCTGCATATATATGTTTTTATCATGATATTCAATTTCCAGGTTCACTACAGCAAAGAAGAAAGTGAGAATCGGCTGGTGGCACAAGCCAAAGTCCTATCTGATGCTATCCTCAACTTCACCAACAGCCAAGAGGAGATTACGATCTCTGTCTCTCATCAAAAGACCTTTGTGCGCAACTACATGCAGGATGAACCTGGTGAGACCATTTTACTGTCCCCAAGCATTGTTTCTCTGTCCTTAATAGGTTAATAGGTCCTTAATTGATTGAATTTAATATTTTTCTTCTTTCAACTTCTTGATGAGCAGAGCTGGGCAAAGTGGTGCATACAGAGTTGTGCCTTGAGGCAGGAGAGTTTGATCACTATGCTGTGAAGAAGGAAACAGATGTCACCTTCTATCTCAAGGATCTCAAAAGTGTCCTTCAGTTCACTGAAGCTGTAAACCTCCCCATCGAGATCTTCTTTGACACTGGTGGCTTGTAAGAGTTGTCCTTTCTTGTTTTTCTTTCTTTCAAGACCTCTCTGACTGGGATGGACATGTGGATAGTGTTCTATAATACTTTGAATGATTGATCTTATTATAGGCCTTTGATCCTGAGCCTTAGAAACCCTCCTACATTTGAGGTGGACTTTGTATTAGCTACTATTGCTCCTGCTGGGACAAGAGGCCAGTCAACCCAAGTGTCTGCAGTTCAAAGTCAGACTCAAGTAGATGAAGTGAGACATGGAAGGGAGCTGCTAACCCAGACATCAGCAATTCAAAATCAGACTCATGCCAACAGTGGGAAACAAGGAGAGCAGCCAAGCCGGATGTCAGAGATCTTAAGTCAGACTCAAGCAACTAAGCAAGGCAGAGATCAGCTAAGTCAGTCATCAGCAATTCGAAATCAGACTCCAGTTGAAGAAGCAAGACAAGGGAGAGAGCAGATGAGCCAGGTGTCAGTGTACCCAAGTCATACCAAAGCCAATGAAGTGAGACTAGTCCCCACCACTAATGAACCTCCTTCCAGTCTACCTCAGAACCAAACTCACACTCTTCAGACTTATGAAGTGTATCAAGAACCAAAATCCAAGAGGTTGAGGATGGAGGGGACAGTTAATGAGAATCAGAAGTTTTTCCTGCGCCGCTGCATTGAGCCATCTTTTTCACAGAGTCGAGTTCCTGGCTATCATGCAGTACTTGCTCCAGGCTCTGATGAAGAGGACTCTATGGAGCCTGGTTGACTCTAATGCTGTTGTCATATTTATTGTTTGTTATTGCACTTCTTATGCCTTTCCTAAGCTTGCTTTCTTTTAATGAAGTCAAGTGACACCAGCCATTCTCCCATGATAGGGAAGATGGGTTGAAAACCCAGATTGGCATCACATGGCCTTGAGAAAATCTGGCTGTGATTGATTTGAGCTAGAGCACCATGATTAATTTGTGAAATAGTGCTGATATCACCCTGGGAAAATAGAAAAAGAGTGCTGTTATTAATATTAATACTCATAAGGTAAATAAATATTTTCAACAGTTCATGATTATGCAAAATCTTCATGTCTGATGCAGGTTTTGGAGTGTCTGTTGAAATGCTGTAGGTGAAACAAGATGGCAAGCAAGGTGAAGAGGCCAAAGACATTGGAGTTGGCTGAAAGTCCAAAGGATCATGAACAAAGTTTAAGAGATGGATCTGTACCAGAGGAGTCACACTTCCTTCGATCAAGAAAAGCCTCTAAAGGGAAAAGCAGACCATTACTTGGGGACTCACCCTCCTGCCGATCTAAAAAAGCCTCTTTAAGAAAAAGCAGACCCTTACCTGAAGGCTCACCCTTGCTTGGATCCAGACATGCTTCTCCAGTGAGAGGCAGGCATTCATTCTTTTCACCTGAGGAGTCATCCTTCCTGCAATCCAGTCAAGCATCTCCAGGAATTTCTCCTGAGGGAGTTATCTGGGATTCTCGATCCCCACGTCATACCATGATAAAGACACCCAACCGAGTATCCACACCCCAAGTCCCAAGGCTCATCTCCAAGGTATGTCTTCAGGCTAAGCATCTTGACACTGAAGATGACACTCCATTAGTCATCCACCGTCTGCCACGCCGGATGATGCCAAAAGATGAGTTTTGTGGGAAAAGTGCAAAGAGTGATGATTCATGCAGTATTCGTAACCTCAGGTCTCTCATGGTACAATTTGATGAACCAAAACTTGAGATGAAACCTGATGCAGAATCTGTCAGCATGGATGACTCAATGGATGATATTCTCATTCAATCAACTCAGGAGGTAGAAGGTGAAGAATTATTTCCCAATGGAGATGAATCTCTTGATGAGATGATGATTCAGTGCACACAGGAAGCTGAACAAGCCTTTGTGAGCAGATCTGAACTCAGTTTGGAGAACAAGGAAAACATTCTCTTAGCAAGACCAGACAATGCCAAAGCCGAAGTCATTGCTGATCTCTTTGGTGATTCTGAGGATGAATCTATTGTGATATTGGTTGCTGAAGAGGCAGAAGAAATCTGTGCCACTCAGACATTATTTGAACAGTCATTTGAATCTGCTTGATTTGTTCCCATTTGAGCGGTATAATGGCAGAAAGATGTTATAGAAAATCATTTTCTTAGATATGTTGTCTGTGCTTCCACTTTTATGGACACCATGTAACAACATTTTTTTTTTCCATTCATCCTCTTCCTCCAAGCTTTAAGCACTTATCCCAATTTGCCATATAGGCAACATTGGAGCCCAAAGTGCTCTAATCTAGGATTGCATTCCATCTCAGTGAAATTTTGACCTGAATTATATGCATATTTTATAGGTCATATATCAGGGGAAAAAAACTTTCTATAAGCAATGAGCAGATTAATGGAGGCAATAGACCTTTTGCTTGTTTTCCCAACAAAGAGGTGAGAGAGGAAGAGTTATTTGACATAGTGAGGTTCAAAAACAAATTTTGGAATCTCCTTCAGGGAAGAGGAGTGTCAAAAATGTGAAAATGAAATACCAACAGCTCAGTTACTGGTTATCTCCTCTTCATTGTCAGTGCAAGTTGCTCAGCTATTATCACAGCAGGTGCTTCCCTGGATATTGAAAAATGAATGACTTCACTCTCTTTAATAAAATATGAGAGGTGAAAGGGCCATGTTATGTGGCAGTTCCCTTAGATCTTTCCCTTAACCTGGTTGATGAATGAGGCTATTAACCCTTTCACGGTCATGCATTGTAATATCAGTCATCCTCCAGGGAGGTTTTGTAAAAACTGGACTGTGAAAGGGTTAACATGTTGACTGCCAAGTGACATGCTGGCATGTCATGTGGTGCAATGGAAAAGGTTTAACAAAACTACCTTGGCGGTCCACATATTAAAAGGATTAATCTTTGCTGGCAAGTGCTTCCAGAAAGTGGGCTTTTTTCTGGTAGATGGACTATAAAGGTACTTTCATTTTCGCATTTCTAAGTCCTTGTTTTACCACAGCTTTGATTGAAAGCCTGTAACCTAGGGAAAATTGAAGGAGTCAGATGCATACTTGATGCCTTTCATTATTCTCCCAAAGTTTCATCCAGTCAATTTCTGCTTAATCTAAATGAGTTCAAGGACAAGTTATGTACCTGTAACTGGTCTAAGCTTTCCCTTTTGCTTGGTACAAGTCTTGCTAGGTCTTTAGAAGAACTCGGAATTTGTAGTCCATATTTCCTAATCTGGTTTCACGTTCATGTTTGTCATCACAAGCATTGAAATAATATACCATAGTTGAAGGACTCATTTACCAAGCACCTCCATTCATGCATGACCAATCCTAAGATCTGATTTCCATTAATTTTGCAGAATAGTTCAAAAATTAGTGTTAAAGCTATGTAAGGAAGAGAGGAAGGGAATGTCTCGATCAGAAGAAGAGGAGGATGGCTGGGGAGGGGAGGAGATGCCTGAGAGTCCTGCATCAGATGATGCCATTGTAGAGAATGCAGAGGAGGTGCTCTCGGATTGCCTAGAGCAGTTCAAGAGCCCCGACTTCATCATGGAACCTGGGATCACACACTCTCTTCGGCAATACTTCCAAGCTGGGGGTGACCCTGTTCAAGTGATTGATCATCTTTCAGCCAGTTATGCTGGGTTGGCCCAGATGGCGAATCTCATGGCCGAGTGGTTGATCCTCACGGGAGCCAGCATTCAAGATGTCCAAACGATGGTTGAAGATCATCTCAAGCGCATGATTACCAAGGTCTGCCTTTATTTGTTCTATATAAAAAAAATACTATCCCAACTTGCAAGAGATTGGATTTTTCATTCTTGAAATATAAGTTACATCCCTTTTTTTTTCAAATGGAGGTTATTTTTGCTCGATCAGATTTTACTCTGAATACTGTTTCTGTGTTCGTATTGTTGACAGAAGCTGAGTAAAACAAGTTTATGCATCCATTTAGTAGCTTGGCATGGATGCTTGTAAGTCACATGCCGATCTTTGTCCACACAATGCTACTTGAAACTTTTGCATAACATGGCATTTTTCACGAAGATGCCATCTGACTGTCTTGGGATGGAAGAGGATTGAATTGAAGTTGAAGATCATGAGGGATTGTATCAAATGGGGATTAACCTGTTATCCCCCGGGTTTCTGTTTCCCTTCCCCCCCCCTGCTTTTATGTTAACTTTTTCCACGCAAACTTCTTTATTTGGAGACACATTTTGAGGGAAGGCAGAAATCCTATTGAAAGAGAGTAGCTTTGAGCATGACTAGATTTCAAATAGATGTATCAATAGATAGTGTACCCTTGTCAAGGTGTATGTATGAGTTCCTTCGTAGTGGGCAATACACAATCTAAAAATGTCGCCACTCTGTGAATCAACGCAAATTACAGCCCTTTCCTGGAAGCACAGGTATTGAATAATCCCTTCCCGTGAATTACAACTTCCATTACTATACCGGGTGGCCAAAAAAAAGTGTCCTGTTTGATACTTTATTATCCCGCTGTGGATGATCTAGGTTTGTGATGTTTTCACATCACATTGAAAACACCTCAAAATTTGTTTTCTGAACGTTTCATGTACCTAGGTTGTCTGAATAAAAAGCGACAGTCGTTCAAAGTGGAGTCATAAATGGTACCTTTTCCGTGCGTGAGGTGGATGGAGTTTCAGCACTGCTTCAATGATTTCCCTCCCTTGACGACATAAAGACTGCTTTTTACGCCGTGTCCTCGTAACATTCTACACGTTGTAGAATAGTTCTGCTGTCGTATATCGTAGCATCAGAATTGACACAAAAATTGACGAATTCATGAGTTCAGGGGCCTTTTTCACGAAACTTCTTTAACTTTTCTTTAACTTTATTTCGGCTATATTTAGACTTTATTTCTTCTTTAACTCTATTTGGACTTTATCCCGACTCAAAATAAAGAGAAAATAAAGACACCTTTGGAGGTCTCTCTATCTCGACTTTAACCTCTCTGAGGACTACGGAAACTCACCTGTGTGTATTCTTATTAACGTGCCCCAAGCGTTGCATGAGCATTCTTTCTGCCACCTGTGACTTATTGCTCTCCGTGTGAACACGACCATGGCTGCAAGGCTTCATCTAATTCGAAGGCAACTTCGTCAGGAAAGAGTACTTAGCGACCGAAACAGCCCCTTGGAAGAGTACGACGATGAAGGACTCAGGAGCAGATTCAGACTCTCACAGTTACAAGTGGCAGAAAGAATGCACATGCAACGCTTGGGGCATGTTATTAAGAATACTCATAGGTGAGTTTCCATAGCCCTCAGAGAGGTTAAAGTCGAGATAGAGAGACCTCCTAAGGTGTCTTTATTTTGAGTCGGGATAAGGTCGAAATATAGCCGAAATAAAGTTAAAGAAGTTTCGTGAAAAAGGCCCCAGGTTTGTACCCTATTTATTCTCGTTTGTGGCGCATCTAAACTCTACACTCGTCATAGATGCATTGCTGTATTTCGGATTCCATCCACGTTCATTTTTCTGGGAGTGAAATCTATTCTACCCTTTCTACGCTTGAAAAGGTCACACATTTCACTCTGTGACGAGTATGCCAAAAATCTCTCGCACGTCAGGTTAGGCATGGAAAAAGGTGAATAGGACAGGGAAGGGTTGCATTTCCAGAGAGTCCTGACATTCCTTCACCTTGCGTATGTCTCATTTTGCGATGCTACGGATATTTGGCACGAAACAGTTTACTAATGTAAAATGTCAGCTCATCAATAAATTCGACATCGACACGATTGTGAATGGGCAACCAATATATGTTCTCAGTCATGCACGAGCATGCAAGCAGTTTATCTCCTGGAAACGAGTCTGCACAGTTTCTCAATGCAATACAACGTAGAGAGTTGAGGATTTTATATCCGATTGGTACCACTTTAATGTGTTTTGGCAAGAAATGGATGCGTATCACTATTATACCAAACCAACTTGATTCTGATCCCGTGTGCTGGAAGGGGAGTAGGGGAAAACAACGAAACTCGAACGCTTGGGCTAAAAGTATCGACTGCTTGTTCGACGTCCTCTCAGGCGATTGAATTATCTTGCTGTAGTTTCCCTGTTGTATCGAAGATGCCGTGGTTCTGAGTTCATATATTTCGATCGTGAGAAGTGCGAGTGCAAAATCTGAGCGCGCTCAGATATTGGATATGAAACAATCGCGTTTCAATTGTAGGGTATCTCCAGGAAAATTGTTCCATAGAACTACGTGTTCATGCACAATTTAGTGTAAGAGTTCCTTTAGGAATATGTTAATGGTAGGATAATATCCCACTAGTTTGGATTGATTGTGTCGTAAGACAGACCTGAGCGCTTGTTCGGTTTAACGTTGCAAATCCATAGCTTGACGAAAGAAAAATGAGAAGGGTCGCAAAAGGAACAGCATCAGAAACAGAACCATACAAAGTTCTTCAGAAATTTCTGATTCTGATGTTGATAATCCAGATGATCCAGCCAGGTAAAGCCCACCTCCCTTTGTGTATTTTGATCGAACATTTGTTGGTTACTCTATTAGAATGTTACGCCTCGCTTAGTTGTGTTTGTGTTTCAAAGCCGTATTCATATTCCAAGGAAAAAATCCTTTGATACCTCGTATGTTTGCTTTTCTCTTACGGAAACAAAAAGGAGTGGCAGAATGTGCGAACAGATCTGGCAAACATTAGTCACTAGGGTAGCTGAGGCTGGCTGTACAGATTACGGAGTGAGAGGGAGAAATTCCGCGTTCGAGTCATGGGGCGCATCCGTTCGACTCTGTGCGTAGCCGTTCGACTCAGATGCAGCACGTACGATTACGGCACGTCCCATTTCGAGGGGCCATGCACACCCACTTTCCGTCATGAAGATTTTTTCCTACCATAACTTGATCCTTGAAAAAGGTAGTTTCAGAGAGGGGCGAAACAAAATGGTCGCCCCCCGGGACTGGCCATTATGGGCTGAGAGAAACGATGGATTTGATAATTGGACGAAAAAGTAGTTCGAGTTTCGTTGTTTTTCCCTACCTTCTTCATGGATTTGATTAGCAGAGGGTGAGCATTACCCCTCAAGGAATTCATGTCCAGACAGTGGAGGAAGGGAAGGCAATTAGAAACCAGATAGTGAATACGAAATTCTCTCCCTCATACTCGATATGGAAGGAACGACTTCATTCAAGATTATCACTCTTTTCTCACCTGTCTATGCCAAAAAGTCAAAGAACGTTTCCCAACTAGCATGCCTAAAAGTGCATCCTCAAAGAAAAAGATAAATAATTGCTTCCAATGATGGATGATTAGATGGAGAAGAGCACAAAGCGGAACTTCCTCAGGAACGCCTGAACACAAGGAAATTGTGGTGTACTTGCAGACTGGGTCCATGAATAGTTGGATTTTCACCAATTTATAGGAAAGAGATATTGTGTAAATTTCAATACAACAGCAAACTTCTAGATCTGCAAAGTGATCAAGATGTTGATACAAGGATTTCAACCCATATATTTCGTATTGATACTTGACCACTTGTGAAATTGGTATTTTGGCTGTAGCTGAGCATACATGATCAAAAACCACCAGAAAAAGGTCATAAGAAAGCAAAATCATCTTCGGCTGCTATCTTAGGGATATGAAAGAATCTGCATTAAAGACTTCCATGCAAATTGTTCCTTACACCGTAATTACATGACCTTCCCTTGTTTGCTAGGGAAGGTGGGAGGGAGGCATCTACACTGGTCATTGGGGGACATCCCCTTTGGTCAAAGCAATTCTAGGCAGCTGGCCAGTAGGGATTGAAGAGGGTGGAACTCTTTTCACAATGCCCCTTATTCCCGTTCTTGGGACAGATCTGCTATCTATTTTTAGAAGGTGCAAACAAACCCTTACAATTGTGACCCATGGTGCAAACTTGGGACACACCTACTATGAAAATGCACCCAAGTTACAAACAGCCATTTGCATCTTTGCAACAGTAGTCATCATCTCTGTAGCATGATCTTCTAGTTTGCGATCAATCTTGGTGTTTTCAAGATATTGAGATCAAGTACTAATTAGTACCTGAGTACATATAGATACTATCATTAGAAGCAGGTAAATGAGTGGATGATATTGATATACAGTTCATGTTTATGACAGCAAGCGTTTAGCAGTCTGAGAGCATTTCTTACCAGCTGATCAAAATCCTAGAATACTGTGTCCCCTAACGTTCCATCTAGGATGAGCAGCTATGACTAATGCCACCCCATGATTGGTTAGAAATTTCATGGCATTACCATGGTATTGGTTGATTGCCAGCTTTCACTGCAGACAAACTCAGAAAGAGCCTGCATAGTTTCCTACTTCAAGTTTGTTGGTGGCCGTATACTGCATTTGTCATCTTCAGTGGATTCTCATCCTTCACAAAATTGCTTGTGACACTCCCACACATGAGAATTAGGAGAAATATGAACCAATGTGTTGCAGGAGGTTGCCAAGAATGTGTTACAGCCTGTTTTCCAAGAATAGAATGACTTCAACACACCTCTCCCATAGTTTTTAAACTTTGGGAGAGGTGTATCGCAAGTAAAGAGAATTATTTCAAAGGGGATCATACCTAGCCTCTGTACCTAATTAGCTCTATGAAGGCCAGTCCTGGAACTTTTTGATGTGCCCACTTATAGGAGTATTGGAGGACAGGGGGAGGGGGGGGGGGGGGGGGGGGGAGGTTGGAGCGAAGGAAGCGGCAAGAATTATGGGGCTTAACTCTTTGAAAATTGGTATTAGACTTCCAAAGACCTAGGCATCATGTACCAGGGTCAAATCCTATGGGTTTTGTTTATTCTGGGCCTGAGGAGGATAGGGAAATGGGGGGGGGGTGACAGGACAGAACGAGCAAAGTATTATTGATCCAAAATGTCTTTTCAAAATTTTAGCAGTGTCTCATTTGAATGTTATGAGACAGAAGTCAGTAATCTTCAATTAGGAAGAAATGAATGTTTCACGAGTAGCAGCTAGTGCTTTTAAATTCCTTATAATCCTCATTTGGTGTAAGTATATCTTTCATATGTAATTGGCAGTTTTTTGCTTCATGCCTTCCAAGGGATGACCAGGCCTCTCTTGCGAAAGTTGAGCATCAGGATATCTTTTACACTTGTAGGCTTTCTCTGTCAGTCTAGAAAGCTATTTGGACAGAGTGTAATGTTTGTGAAAATTTTCCAGCTGTTATAAATAGTTCAAACTGTATTCCAAAGTAAAACCCAGCCATTCTCCCTTTCCTGTATTCTAGGACTGTGGTCATCATTTACTATTGTTGTGAGTATTTATACTCTTGATCCCCAAATAAATGATTCATGAAGTGCTCATTGATGAGCTAGAATTCAGCTAGAATCCATTTTCTCTAGAAGAGAAAATGGATTCTAGCTGAATTTCAATTTTGTAAGTTCTGTGTATTCTTTCTTGATTGATATGCTTACATACTGGAGAGAAAAACAAGGATGCCCTGTTTCACCTAGGATAGCCAAGGAATGCTTAGTTGCACTAGCCACATTACCTTTGGAGAGGACTTTTCAGTTTGTTGACTGAATTGTTCCTGAAACAGATGCAGAATATCTTCTGATAATGTATAAAGAATGATTTGTTTAAATATATGGTAACATATGGATGCCAACCTGAGAAATTTATAGCTGCTGTCTATGCTGTTTGCATTTCAGTTGAATAATATTTCTCCATCAGAACAGTCCTTATCAATTAATTATTCTAACTGAACTGAACTGAACCTAAATATTTAAGGTTTGTCTGATCTCCACCTGGAATGCGTTCAGTATCGGTTACTTGAGTTGAGTGATTAATGGTTATAGGCTGAAATTTCTATATTGGTGAATATCTGATGATTGTCAGGGTGATTTTTAACATATTTGCTGTGAAGGCATTTTTCCAATGCTTGTAACTCTGAGGTGGTAATTAACCATTCCCACAAGTCAAATGGCAACTACTGTAATATGAGTATGTTCCAACATTCTTGCAAGCTGTTTTCTTTAACTTATGAACTCTAACTTTGCAATCCTAATGTTTTTTTGCAGAGCAGCTTTCATGCAAGCTTCCAAAATTTTCACTGTGTAGTTTTACTCTTTGAATTGTAAAATGGTTCTAGCTGTACCATTGGTTGACTTGAGTTTTGTTTTCACGGAGCAGGTGTTTGACCCAAAGAAGGCAGATACGATCTTCACAGATGAGGGTGACCCACCAGCATGGCTGACAGAGATGGTGGAACATGGAACATGGCGGTCATTGATCTATCGTCTGGCTGAGGATTATCCTGATTGCCTCATGCTTAACTTCACCATCAAACTCATCTCAGATGCTGGGTTTCAGGGGGAGATTACTAACATCTCAACAGCAGCACAGCAGATTGAGGTCTTTTCCCGCATCCTTAAGACCTTCATCTCAAATGTGATGGGGAGTGACAAGGAAGAGCAGCAGAAGCACCTGGATGAATTTTCCAAAATGGTCTGTCATGGCCAGCACACCTTCATTTATACTTTGACACTTCTCCATGTCTTGCAGAATGAAGGAAAACACACATCAGTGATTCGACGTCTGTCACAAGAGATTGTTAAAACGGCAATTGACGGAGGCCATGATGTCACGCCCATTCTGTTGTCCTTAAAGGGTACTGGTGGAGATGTCCCACCTCGTGCAGCTCAAGTTCTGGGTGCTATGCTGTCTAAAGGTGCATTGAACCCAGCTGATATCAGTGTATTGCATCGGATGTATTCCTCCAATGATGCTCCACCAGTGGATCTGATCCGCATCCCACAGTTCATGGAGCTTCTTGTCGATTCCTTGTTTAAACCTGGATCCAAGATCAATCCTGAACACAAGAGCAAATATATCCATCTGTTGGCCTATGCAGCTAGTGTAAGTGAGATATCCAAGAAGGGTAAAAAGAGTGTGAATCGAGATGAACTGAAGAGCACCATCCAGGCCATCGAGAATGTACATAAAGTATGTAGTAAGAACACTACATCGGCTGAGCTGTTAGCTGACCTTAGCACCATCTACCAGTACATTCGGTTCCCTGTGGTGACAGTAGGTGTTGTCCGTTGGGTTGAAAGCATTGTCACAGAGCCCAGTTACTTTCAGTTGAGCATTGATCACACACCAATCCACCTTGCTGTTCTTGATGAGGTGGTAACATGTCACATTGCCCATCATGAGCATGTTTTGACCTTGCTCATTCGCCTCTTTGAAACCCAGTTGGAAGAAATGGAGATTCTGGCCCAGCTGGAAATCAAGAAAATGCTTCTCGACCGCATGGTGAATCTCCTGTGTAAAGGATGTGTGATTCCAGTCTTGAGTTATATCAAGCAGGCATGGGAAAACCAGAAAACAGATATTTCCCTTATTCGCTACTTTGTGACTGAGGTGTTGGATGTGGTGGCCCCACCATATTCAGAGGAATTTGTGTCTCATTTTCTTCCCATGGTGGAGAATGAAGAAATCACAGGTCCAATCCGTGGAGATGGAGACCAGGATCCTGTCACCCAGTTCCTTGCAAAGGCCAAATCCTGAAATTTGTGTCTTTCTTATCATTTGACCTGATGTTTGTTTCTCAGTGGAAATGAATTTCATATTGGTTTAATTCGCCAGAGTAAATGACATAATTTTGATGTTTTTCTGACTTCAAGATTTCCTCCATCCTCTCTTTCAAGCATTGTTCTGTAAACTGAAAGGAGGATGTGTAAATTCAAAATATTCCAAATCTAAGCATGAATCTGAGAAGTGGTAGGGAGATCCTGTGCCTTAAGACTACATCAAACTCCAAAGGATCAGCTAATTTTCCTTGCACTGTAGTAGAAAAGGATGCTGATGTTAGGAGTGGTCCAAGAAACACACCACCCCTCCTGCAAAGAGAAGAGAGAGATGAAAGGAAGTTGTTATACTTCATGTGGATATTCAACACAAAGTGTTGAGGACAAACTTCAGAACCTGGTGTTACCTCCATTGGTTATTCAGACAACCTGAAATCTCAGGATTTGACATTGAGAGAGTGCAAGAAGTCTCAGTTATACTCAAGGCTTTGAAGATTATATCAATTTGTTGCAGAGGCACTTGAAAGGAGTTTGATTTTTTTTAGTCTTCCTGATACATAAGAAGTTTGACATGGCTCTTTATGATGAAACCCATGTGTTCTTGGGATTGGGGAAACCACTCCTTGTTTTCAATGAAGTTTGCACCATTTCTCTGTAGCAAATTGAGTGCCTGATGCTTTTGTGTGTGGGGCTTTATTGTAGAGAAATTTGACATTGTCAAAATCTCATTCTCTGATGACAAAGAAATTGGATAGCACACTCTGTTGATAGCAGATAGCGGATAGCACACTCTTCTCCTCAGAAATATTAACCATCCTATGACTGATTCCTGAACCCATAGCATTTTGAATGATATGAACCTAAGTAAAATTCTGATGCATTTGGGTCTCTATACCTATTCATGCTATCTCTCATCATCTTCAGGTGTACTTGATCATATCCAGTCGTTTTGGTTGTTGGGATGTAAAACAAAATTGACCAAGAGTTCATGTGCATTGGACTAACCAAAAATGGTCTCTGCAATATTTCTTCCCTGGTTTTGGGATTATATGCCATGGCCATACAACATCATGATAGCAATGGACAGCTTCCTTTGCTACTTTCTCACCAGGCTCATGTTAATTCATATGGGAAGCAGCAAAAAGCTTTTCCTTGTAGACTGCAGAGTGATGTTTTTTTTTCATGTGATAACTTAAAAGGAGCACCTCCATGGAACTCGATGTCTGTACCTTTCATTTCTTTCAACCAGTTAACCACACTTTTACTTTCCAACATTGTAATAATCCATTTCTTCACATTGGAAGCTGTATCCACATCTTGGCAACATGAAGGCTCATTGATCATTTGTAACACCACCCATGATATAACAGTGTACAATAAAAATAGATTTTTGGAACACCTTGTAGCAGAACTATAGCTTTGAACCTAAGCTTATTGAGTTGTGGGCTCCCCTGTACTTGCTTGTGCTGGTCATTTTACAGAGATCTAAAGTATATCTTCAAAAGTAAGAGAGTTAAGGGAGAGAATTGACTTTCTAAGAACTTCCTAGAAAAAGGTCCACAATCATAGCAATAATGTCAGTTGTAGAACATTTTGACCCCTTAGAATCCTGAGTGGTGCAAAGCTTCACAATCAGTTGTTTTCAAAGAGTCTTTTTTGAAAGTCTGGATTGTATTAATTCAAAGAAAAGGATATAATGGTAGCCCTGGCTCCTGAGGAGCCAGATGCAAATTTGATGCATCACCTACAGCAGCACCCAAACTTATGAGCAATACTTGGATTCTTATTGTACCACAATACTTATGTATGGTTTGAATGCAGTTGTACTAAAGCAGAGGATGTGAAGGTGAGAGGAAATGGTAGGACTCACTATGTCAGAGCGAGATCGGGATCATCAGGACCTCTACAAGCACACCACCCCTCCATGGCGGGAAACATACAAACAGGTTCACGATTACCTCAATCACTTTTTCCTCTTCCATTTTCCCCCTTATTTAATGATATGTTGCTGGTGAAGCAGTTTCTTCTTATTTTATTACAAAGAGGAAATGCTTGTTTCATAATTGGTGCACAAGTGCATTTTGAACTAGTATAGTTGTGGACAAGCTGAGTTTAGTAATATGGCAACTCAATTTCTACAAATGCAGACAGATGTTGATGTGAGAAAATTGCATTGATGAAGTTAAATGAGGAACTTTGCATTTTCTATCTGAGGTTTTTTCGGTGAGCATTTTGTATTTTTATCCTTATTGTTCTCCTTTGTGGCTTCATTAGAAATTCCAAATTTAATATAGTGAATTTCTTTATGAGGTGCTCTGACTGTATGTTGGTTTGAGAAATGCGTTTATTTCTTTTTCTGGTCTGTAGCGATGCATAGCACGGCTGCGAGGGAGCAGAGAGAGGCTCCTGGATCGATTCCGCAATCTTCCTGCTGCTGTTCAGACAGGATCCCCATCTCTTGTCCAGGAAGTCATGGAGGCTGAACTTCATCTTCCCTCTGATCAGGAAAGGTCAGTCTCCTTCACCTTCTTGCATTCAACTCCTTTTGTCTAGAGAAACTTGGTAACTATTTGAAGAACTTTGGCTTCAGAAAAAATTGCCTGTAATAGCAGAGCTTCTAATACAAAGGAATTATATCTCTCCAGGGGATACAATCCCATGGGGATGGAAGGCAGAGGAGTTTGCGATGATGAGGCAGAAGTGATGGAAGAGATCCGGCAGGAACTGCAGGCTCATGGTATGGTAATCTTTCTCGCACAACATGCTCTCAGTAATGTTTGATTTTTCTGCAAACCCATGCAGTGATGTTTTCACCTTGCTTGGAAGTTTTGTGGTTTTGGGTCTAGAATGCTATACAATGTACTGCACTTGAAAGTTGAACAAATGTGCTTTATGTTACATGGCACATGGAAAGTATATTTTATAACAAGGACTCCATTACTTGTTGGGACCTCCCCCAAGAAGATTGTAGCCTAAAATATGACTTATTTGGTGAAAATGCCCAGTGCAGTGCATATGCTTCTATGGGACACTTTCAGCCTTCAAAGGGTTAAGATGCATGAGAGTGAGTTAGTTATTTCCAATGTATGGATGATTGGTTCAGACTGTGGACACCAAAAAATTGCTATGGTAAGCAACAATTAATTTCAGTCATATTAAGTCAAATAATGTTGGAATGCTTCAATGCCTATGCATTCATTATTTTACACAATCTTTTCCCTATGTACCACAAATTTTGAGACACTCTGAATACATACTTTACAATGGCCCAGAGTCCAGTGCTCACCATTGAATTGATAAAGAAGAAGACATCAATGAATGAGCTGTGTAATGGAAAACTTCATTGAAAGGAATAAACTGATAGGAACAAAGATCTTTTAAATAAATAATAGCCTATTTTATTTACAAAAAATAATATTTTAATTTGAAAAAAAACAAGCATTTTTGTTTTGCTTTTCTGCTAAGATCCTTTTTGGGGTTTTTGATGCCTGGTCAACCCCTTCATTAGTAGCTAGAAAGCATTCAATCCCTCAATAAGGGCATTTGAGAAGCAGGCCTCTTGGAAAGGGAATGGAGTCATCAGCAGTTAGATCCATGTCTAGCTAGGTTACTTAGTTAGTTAGCCCAACAACAGTAGTTTTTGGTATACCAGTCAAGGTATCAAGACTCAGAAAGAATTTTTTGAAATTCCCTTGACTTGTTTGCATACTACTGCTGGGATTTGTTGGTGGTTTTTTGATTGCAGAGGAGGCAATGTTGCAGGAGGAGATGGAGTCCTTGGAGAAGTATGAAGCTGGGTTCCTTGAAACTCTTCCAATTCCCCATGAGGATGTTTGCAGTCAGAGCCCATCTCTTCTCTGTCCAGTCTGCCAATTTCACCACCTCCAAGTAGATCTACTATTCTCTCAGCTTCTCACTCACACCTATTCATTGTATCAAACATGCTCTGTCCAAGCTTCCAGAAATCCCATCTGTAGCCTTTATTGGTCAAGCTGCCAATCCTTTGCAAATGGTGTCAAATATTGTTATCATCATACTTTACTGGTATTTAATGTTTTGTTCAGCAGGATTGAAGGAATCTGAGTGGCACCAGTGAGCAATGCTAGAAATAGTGTGTGAATGGTGCTTTTGTGTATGCCATGTGTCTTCATATTACTTTCAAAATGTGTGAAAATATTTTCATCAGAAGTGAATGCAGTTAATTTGTAAAATAATTTTCATGAGAAAAGAGGTAAGCAATCATTGTATTTTTTGTTCAGCATGTAGGTGGGGCTTTTGTATGTGAGTGCAGTCGATGGCTGCCTGATCGAGGGAGGAATTTGGAGAGTCTCCGAGGAGCGCTGATGGAGGTCACCGATCGACATGGGTCAATGTGTCCCAGTCGACCTGAATTCATCCTAATGGGGGGTGTCGATGGGCATGACAATGAGCTCATGATTCATTGCTGGGTATGTCCCATATTCGACTCGTATAATTTGTGTATGTACATGAAACAGCTTTTAGCTCCTCTGTCTCTCCAAAGTCTCCTATGCTTCAGGTGCTCCATCCATGTAAATATGTAGTATTTTACCAGTTACCAGTGGCGGCTCGTCGTGGTAGGCACGTTAGGCCGGACCTAACCTGTGCCAGACAAGAAAGAGAGCACCGAGAGATACCGTGAATTTAAGTATTAAGTAATAATTTTTACTCCGTCATAACTTTTATCTGACAACGTTTCGGAATGCCTCCAGCTAGAATAATATTTGGGCTTCCTCGTGAGTCAGTAAATTTGGTGAAGTACTGGAAACGAGTAAAGCCACAAGAAAAGGGTGAAAGAATGCTGTCTGCTACAGGACTGCTGGGCCCGGGCATCCCCCTTATCGCAGGTAAGTCGGAACATGCGCAGTTCCAACCTAGGCCTCGCCCTGGCCTTACCTGCTCCTATTCACTGGGAACGGGATGGAAGAGTTGAGGGGGAAAGGGCAGTCTTGCAGCGAAGTGAACGGAATGAGACTTAAGACCGTTTCACACACGCATGCGGCTTGTGTGTCTGCATGCGTCCACATGCGTTCTAATGCAAGGGAACACTGGTGTACATGGCATACTCTCACGCATTTAGGTCATTCCACAGATTAAGGACAAAATTGTCAAAAAGAAAAATCCTAAATTTGATGCCAGTTAAGGAGGGGCAATACATCACATTAAAATATAGATTCTGATTGATTAATAAAGGAAAACCCTATTCAAAACGTAGTGATAGCGATTCCTTTATAATTGTAAAGGCGTGTGGGCAAATGTACACGCGTGTTCCTTGCATTCGAACGCATGTGGACGCATGCAGCTACGTTGCCGAATCTATGCAGCATTGCCAGATATTCTTCACGCCCTACTCCTTCCACTCCGATGAAATTGGAATCCTGCCAAGCTAGTTTTTCAGTCTCGCTCACCTGTTTTATCAGCACCACGGCTCGCGTAGGTCTTTATTCCTTCAGATCTCTCTCCAAAACTTTTCTTTTCTCATGCCCCCGGACTTCCCCCTGGCAGTGATTTATGCAATGGAGTTTATGTAGCTGACGTCACGTTTTCTCAACCAATCATATCTGAGCATGACTTAGTATACAGGGTGTTCGTATTTAAACGTAATATAGGAAAAGGTTTCCCCCATGTTTGTGGAGTTCAATGCGTGCCGTACAGCTCACTGGGTTGCATATCTGGAAGGATGAATGTTATCACTGGTGTGTTTCCTTGTAGATATGCCAACCGGTGGACCTTATAGTGTTCGCTGCCCTCCACCAACAGGCGGCAAAATATTCCCTATGTTGCTTTTAAATACGAACACCCAGTATATTTTTAAATATTGCATTAATATAGTTATATCATACATTATATAACAATATAAGTCTGAATGTGAGAGGGAAATTTTAATTACTAGAATATATTAAGCAAGAATTCATTTGCTTGCATACGTTTTCTATCATAATACCGATGATCAAGTGAAGGGTAATGTGAAAGCGGTAAGAAAGTCATATTTGTACCGTATTATAGGCTTCGCAAACACAAAATGGTAGAAACGGGAGACATCATTGCCGACTTAGAACTTAGTTTATTTTCAAGAAGTGAAGAGAAGAGGTGAGATATTTTCGAGAACGGTAGGGCTCACGCCAGATCTCTAAAGTTTGCAAAAAGACTGGTGAAAACTAGTGCTTTCCGTAAGCTCTGGTACGAAAACTTGAGAAATGGGAGGTGCAAAGGACGATTCAGTCAATTGGTCCCGAACCGAACCAATGGCCAGTTGATGGAATTAAAATTCTTCGCTTATGCCAAACGGGAAGCTAACTTCTAAAAAAAAATGAATATGAGCATTACTGACACTTTAATTACTTTAAACTAATATTTAAGAAGCAATTCAGAACAATGATAGTTGCAGGAAAGAAGGGAATGAACATATCCCACTCCAGAAGCTTCGTCCGTCACACATATTTTCTTGGCATCCTGGGTTTAACTCAGTAGTGTAGCGAGAGCCTCATTTTTCGGAGGGCCAATGAAGTCCTATGAGAGCCTAAAAAACTTTTTGTAAGCTATGGGGGAGGGGGTGGGAGCCTAGACAGCCCCCCTTCCTTGGCTACGTCACTGACCTACCCTACAGCATGAACCACGAGCCACCACTGCCAGTTACCAGCAGATATTATGATTACCGGTCAGGGGGGATCCAAGAGTGATTCATGGGGGGCCAGCCAGAGCCAGGCCAGACTTGCAATCAGTATGAAATGGATGCATTACGGTGCAAAAGTCTTTGCCCCCAGTATTTCAAGTATTTCTCAGGGTGGATGGGATGAATATCGAAACCAATTTTATTCACAGATTTGGCTTGGGACAAGGTAGAATAGTATCACAATTAATAGTTGATCCTCTCTCCCTTCGAGTCCATCAAAGCCCAACATCGCGCGTTCATCGACTCGACCAAATGGTTTAGAGGGGGCAAGTCGATTCTGTCCCATTCTTCGTCCAGAGATCTATCCATTTCGTCGTGATTTAATGGTTTCCGCTTCTCGACCCACTAATAAAGGATCGACCAGAGGTTCTCGATCGGATTGACGTCGGGACTGTTCGACGGCCAGTCGATCGTTTCGGGTACTTCCTCGAGTAGGAACTACTTCGTCACTCGACTTCTGTTTGGGATCGTTGTCTTGCTGCAGTCGCCAGCGTCGACCGAACTGCCTTCTGGCGCTACGGAGGTCATCTTGAAGGATTTGAACGTAGTAAGGGCCATTCGTAGTTCTCTCGAACGAATGACACCCAGCCAGACAGACCCATGACTCTGAAGCCGCCCTACTCTATAATCTTCTGTCTATTCTTCGGGATTTGCCCGACCTCGCCTCTGTATTCTTTGATCATCGACAAATTGTGTTTCTGAATAATTGGTAGGAGGTCTCGTCGGTGAATACTGTTCGGCTCCAATCGTCCTTCTTGTGTCGAATTGCCCACTGGACGCGCGCATCTTTGTGCTTCTGTGTCAACATTGGCGTCGCATGGGGTAAAGTACTCTTGTAGCTCATCCGTTTGAGCTGGCGTCGTACCGTCCATCGGGACACGTGCCGACCTCGGTCCTGAAGCAACTCTTGCGCCAATTCTTTCGCCGTCGTCGCATGGTTTCGTCGAATCCACTGGCCTTGGGGTCGGCCACTACGGCGTCTGTTCTCCACCGTGCCTTGTTCTTTGATCTTGACAATATTGTACTCGCCAGTCTGAACGGGGTGTAGGGCTGGCGCTACTGGGGGCCCCTACAGAATGGGGTTATTAACGTAGGGCCTGTACGGCTAGATGGTGATAGGATCCGGAATGCAGGGATCTCTAGAGAGTTATCTGGAAAAGTATCAGGAGAGGTTATCTGCGAAGGTTGCGATGTTCGGAGAGGTTCGTAAGAGAGACTTCTGTGATCGGCAGCAGGAAACCCGTCCAATAGTTATCGCTGACTCCAAGGCGTAGACTCCTTTGAATTACTCAGGACTCCGGGTTTATATAAAAAGGTGCGTAATCGGACACTACGCACAATTTATTATACAAGAAGACAACAGGGATAGGTGAATGGGGTTAGTAGCAAATAACAGCCTCACGCTGATGGGGGAGCCTCAGGGTCGTCTCGTACGTCCTAGTTGTCCGGTGGAGGACCACCGTCACCACAGTTCCTCTAATAGTCCGCACGATCCTGTGCGGCAGCTGCGTGAAGGCTCGGCACGGCTTCACGCGTGCCGTGAGTGCGTCCACTCACTTTGGCTCCCGGCGACCCAATGCCGAGGGACTGCTCAGGGAAAGTGGGATGCAGTGGCTTACGTACGCGTATGAGGGAGGAGGTTCTTCCCTCCGTAATCATTACGCCATTCCCTGCGGGGCTCGAGGACGACTCCACAGGGGATCTTCGTCTGAGGAGCAATCGCGGTATGAGATCGATGGCCGTTGTTCCAGAAGAGTTGATTGCTTCGTTTTCGGCGAAGTAGAATTTCGTTGTCGAGGCATTTTCTACCAACTCAAAGATGTTTACGACGATTTGCAGTTTTCACAGCTATATATAGACCAGTGGTGTCCAATAGGATTTCGATGTTCGCCAAACTTGTGGCAATCAGGCCACCATATTCGCCACATGATACTAAATATATGCAATATTAATATTAAAAAAGAATGCGCTATCTTTTGAAAGTAGGTAACATGTAAAACGTCATCAATCAAGACTGATACACAGTAAAATACGGTAACCATTATTTATCCAGAAAGAGCATCAGCAGTAGTATGTACTGACAAACTATACATAGCATAGTAGTCAGATCCTGTATTTATTACTGCAAATTTAAACATTCAGTGTGACACTTTGCAATCTTTTTCTTTCACCAACATCTTGAAATTGGGCAGAAACTTTTCACAGACTGAGCATCTCAACTCCGCCTCCAGATTTACATCCAGTATCTGCGATCGAAACTTGGACTTAATGTGAGTCACTGCAGAAAAAGTGGATTCACAGAGCCACGTTGACCCGAACATCGAAAACAGGTTTGCCATGCCTGAGTGGAGAACCATGAACTCATTTTCCTTCAAAAGCCGACTCCACAGTATCAAGACAGATTCATCTTTCGGCTGATGATTGATCTTGCTTTGAAGTGAAAATAAATCCGCTTCGAAATCGCGCCTGTCCAGGGAGAGCAGACTGACGAGCTCTTGAGATTAGTCGAGAATTATACATTTCAAAGTGAAATGGATCTTGCATGAACTGAAAGGCGAGCCTGAATTTTTCAAAATCGGCGAAGCGCTTGTCAAATTGAGCAGATTCTCCAACCACTTCACATAGCGCTGCCGGTCAAAATCAGCATCTTCCGCATACCACTGCAGATTTGGAAAGTGCGTGAAATCCCGACTCTTCTTGTGTGCCACAAAAAATTTCAGTTTTGACTGAAACTCCCGTACATACTGTGCCAAATCGCAAATCAGCTTTCCCTGAAGTTTCAGGTTCAGCTCATTCAAGTGGTCGGTGGTGTCGGTCAGAAAACGCAAGTCACATTGCCATGCTTCTTCCTCAATCACAGCGTAAGTTGTCAACTTTCCTTTCTCATCAAGAAAGTCTCGGATTGGAGTGAGCAAGGCAGCAAATCGTTGCAAGACCTTTCCACGACTCAGCAACCGTACATTCGCAAAGTAGACGATTTCGGTGAAATCAGACTCCGCTTCTTTCAACAACTCCAGAAACTGTCGATGGTTCAGAGCGCTACCGCGAATATAATTGACGATTTTGACAACTGTGTTCATCGAACTCTTCTCCCGCCATTTGAGCACAAAGATTTTCTTGGTGCAAAATGCAGTGAAACGAGGCCAAATCATCGCCATGAAGGCCATTCGCAGTCAGATGCTGCTTTAGCAGTCTGACAAATCCAGATTTTTGTCCAATCATCGCAGATGCACCATCCGTCGTGACTGAAGCTAACTTCTTCAGATCCAATTCAAACTTTTCCACGACACCTTTGAAAGCGTCAAG